GTCCAATGTCATCCGACTCGCGCACCACTGAGAGCTTGGCGGGAAAGTCGATGGGCGAAAGGACAGAGTGATAGAACAACCACAGGCACGAAATGAGACAAGACCTTCGTCTGGAATGCAAAGAGCATCCAGTGCATTAATTCGGGAGACCCTTCTTTTTGACAGCCGAGTGTTGTCTCTGTGAGTCCAGCTCCGAAGTCACCACAATGGCTGTCGCTCTCGTTGTGTATGCTGACATGGCTCTGTGTGCAGTACATTAGTTTTGGTATCTAGGCTACTCAAACGTCACTATACAGTCTTTTCTATTGTGTTCGGTCTTAGTATACATATAACAGTTCAACTGATTCGAGCATCATCCCTGGCTGAAGCCTCGCGCTCAACTTCCATTTCTTTGTGGGAGCAAATATATCTTCGGTCCATCTCACAAGAGCTAACAAAGTCATGCCCGAACAAATGGGACGATATTTGTCCGGTATAATACATGTTTCAAATCCCGCCAATCTCCTTTAAGCTAATAAACTGGCATGACATAGGCGGTGAGATTCCACAGCATAGCGCTGACGGAGCTGGCGTTCTCTTCGCAGATCATCGTGTTGTTGTCCTTCCAATACGGGCGTGATGGCCAGGTGCAAATCTTCTGGACCTCACCCTCATTGGCGCCAGACTGCACGGTGGCGTTGATAGTGGTGGGCACGACATCCTCCTCTACCCACTGAATCATATGGGCAAAGTTGTCGCGCGGAAATCCGGCATTGGGCTGCTCAGCGTTGATGGCGCAATGGGCAGCGCCAGGGACGAGATAGAACCGGTACCAGTCGTTCAACTGCTCGTTGCCCTCCGAAAATGAGAGTTCCGGATACAAGACCTTGCGGACCGATTCGTGGTAATGGATGGAACCAGTCGGTGGTACACTGCTATCTGCCTCGCCGTGAAAATGCAGCAGGCGGCCTCCCTTGGAGTGGAAGGGAGTCAGGTCTGGCAAGGTAGTTTGGAGAGAGTCCATATAGAGGGTCATGCCCTCAACTATCCAGGCCTTCAGGTCGTCGTTTGTCACACCAGTCATGTCCAGCTCCGTGACATTTTGCCAGTGGAGGAACTTCGTGACCCATTCTCCGTTTGAGTTGGGGGAGGTGATAGTCCATGACTCGGTAGTGCTGTCCCAGACGGTAGTGTCACCGAAGCCGGCGGTGGGCTGAAAGGGGAAGTAGACGAGGTTGCCGTCGGAGTCTTTCAGTCCAGTCAAAAGATCTTGAATCACTGCGATGTCTTTGGCACTGATGGTTCCGTTCTGCGCTGGAGTGACCGAGGACGACTGCCTCTTTCTCTTCTTCCCGTACCCCAACCCCAGACTGGTGGTAGAGCCCTCAGCACATGAGTAGGATTTACCAAGCATGGTTGAGATGTCGAAGTTCTGGAAGCACAGGTCGCTGCGCGCGACTACTCCATCTACCTTGCCATCCATGCCGTCACAGGCATTGATGGTGGCGTTGATGACTGTTTCAAACACGCACGACGGAGGATAATGGCCCATAGTCTGGATCTGCACTGGAGCAGCGATGTGGTTCACCTGCTGCTGAGCATAACGCATGGCGGGGGCTCCCGCCACAATACCGTCGTACAACTCTGGGGCCCGTTGTGCCTGGCTTATCGCCTCTCGTCCACCTTCAGAGCACCCGATGAAGTAGCTGTACAGCTTTGTGGTGTTGGTTCCAACGTCGAAGAAGTTGTTGGTCAAGGCCTTGCCGATTTGAGTCATCTCAGCTATGGCTCGATAACCCCAGTTATAGATGGCCGGCCAGTTCGCAGTACCGTTACCCAGAATCACCACATCATCGAAGTCAGTGCCGCCCCAGTGGGGAAAGCCTCCATCTGTGTAGCCGGTGGCGGCGCCAAAGGCAACGCCGCCCGCCATGTCGGCCCCTCCGGAGCCGTTGTTGATGGTATAGGCTGCACCTCCTGTAGCCAAGAACCGGTTGGCGAAGCTGTCCGGGTCTGGCATCCAGTACTGTACCACGATCCGATCATCCGCGTTCTGATGGTTGTAGGCAAAGGATACTTCGCAGAAGTTGATGGTCATGTCCTCCCAGAAGGTAGCATCGGAGACAGAGTAGTTGCGGTAGATACTGGCAGTCACTGAACTAGTGTCGATAGTAATACCAGAAGGAATGTCATCGCTCGAAGTTGGCAGGACAGAGGTCACATAGTCGGTTGTGCAGACACTGCTCAGCGACGAGGCAGTGGCGACGCCGAAAAACGCAGCCGCAACCACGCTGTACATGGCGAATAGTACTCGAGGTAGCAAGATAGATAGGAAGGTAGATCGGTCGTGCGAGGCAGAATCGATTGCTTGATGATTCTTCCTGGATCAGGTAGAGAAGCAGGGCATTTATCCATGCTTCGAGAATCTTTCTATCCCGTTGCCTCGTGCACATACAACAATCTAATCAATATACGTACGTCCACTGTGGACCATTACGTATACCCCATAATCTGCTTCTACTAAAGTGAAACACGAATGTGCATCACTTGTAGCCCTAGTGGGGAAGATGACCCACTGTCAAGTCCCGGACGGGTCTTTGCTATCCATTGGTGGTACGCACAGCTTGTTACATCGAGAACACCTCAAGCAGTATCTCTCTTGCTCACCCCTCGAGCTTATAAAAGACCACGTGTCCACAGTACGTTCGATTCTCTCTTCCCCGGCCAAAGCCATGAATCCTGTATCCCATTCTTACGGAAGACATCAATTCCTGGGATATACGCCAAGGGCCGAATCGCCGGGCGTACGTGGCGCGGGAATAAGTAAGGGAGCCATGATTGATAGGTCCGCCGGAAATCAGTCTTGAGGAACTCGGGGTTAAGCAGGTTATCTGGGTCGGCCTTATCGGATCTATCGGCTGTATCGGATCAGGATGCTGAATACAGGCCAAGTGTCGGAGAACGGGCCGAGGACTTCGGGGCATGAAACCTGCTACATTACTTGTCGCAGCGTCAAAGCGCACCTCGGCAGGAAGTGGATGGGCGCGGTGACGAGAAATTGTGGCTCCTGGAATCTATCATGGATTTGTTCAGCTGATTCCTGTTTCGGCCGTTTCCAGTCGATCAGCTCTCAAACCCCCAGTATCGTGGCAGGTTTCATTTTAAGAACGATCGTCCTTTTACTCGCTCTCGGCCACATGTCTTTCTCATCTTGTGATATTTCGGTATTTCTTCCCTTGATTCTGATTTCCAATACCCGGCCTACCAATCCATTGAAGTTGAAGTCGGTATTCTCTACATAGATAGGTTCTAATATCCTAGGGAAACAGACTTGCAGTGGCCAGACCTCAGTCCATAGATCGATTTGTCTAATTGATAAAGAAGTTATGGCCACTATGGTGGGCCGCAGCACTTTCTCGGTGCTGCTTTGCTGGGGCCCAGTCCTTTTTCTCCCCAGCACACTAACAATTCCAAGCGAGAATCTTTGTGTTCTTGCAAACTTTGATAGATCGGGAAACATAGAGGATCATCTTCCAATGGTAAATTCAAGAGCCTCTGAAGGTCTATTCACTACAGAACTCAGCTCTTAACGAAAACATCCTGTGTCCGACAAAGGTTGAGTCTTTTGCGTGTGCGACCTTCATAGAACATTAATCCCTCTACGGGAGGATGCTCACTCTGACTGCAACCAAAGCAGCCCCTGATATAGACGCTCTTCCGGAGGCAGACAAACAACGCAATCTTAGAATAAAGTGAAAATTTTGAACCAGAAGATCGTCTTCGTCTCTTGTCTTATGACAGAGAACGAATATAAGAAGTTATTGTCAATGAAATAGCTACGGAAACATTTTGGCTCGTCTTGCGAATTTTGTATGTATGGGAATGCGTATACATAATACATTATCGGGGCCTAAACGCAGACAATTAGCTACGATGGCTTCCAGATCCCATAAGCTCTTCTGCAACTCCTGGCTGACGTTCCTCACAACATTGCAGAGGTAGTTGTTCATCTCAATGCTGGAAACCGGTCTTTCGGTCTATAGCGTTGTAACCTTTCTGAATTCCAGCCGTTTAGGGTCGAGTGGAGATGAGTGGATTATATAGGTACGGCCCTACTTTGTGATCTGCCGGCTGACTGCGGACAGCACGAGCTGTCAATCAGATGGATGCGGGTTGTCGCTCGCACCCCGCGGATTCCGAGTCTTCTCGAAGTCGGTTGTATTGAGGCTATAGAAAAAGAGCATCAGGGAGGCATTAACGAGAGAAGATTAGCATCTGCAGTTCAAGTAAAATTCATGCACAAAACTATATTCACTTGAGTGGGAAGACAACATTCCCACAGCCACGATCTGACGTCTTAGGCGGTCACGCTTCTACTTCACACAGCTCAGGTCGTTGGTTCATGGTACCACAATCTCTCTGCCAATCGTCTTATCAAGCTGAAGTTCCATAGAAACACTCTATCGACTACTGTCTTTACCGACAAACTCGCAACAAAGTACCATGGCCATCCCCTCAATCCGCACAAGGGGGGGCTGTGGCGGTGAGGTCGGAAGCGGTGGACAAACACAGTCGCGATGTTTAGTTATGCGCATTTGGGCTTCCGAGTTGTCGAGGAGATTCGGGCGGGGGAAATTAGAGGCCGGTGGGCGGCGTTGCATGCGATAATTGATGACTCTCGTTCATTTCTTCTCTCGCTCGTCGCTTCCTCTCCACCTCCACCTTTCTACCCAGGCCTCGCCCCATCGATCTTATCGCAAAGGCTTGACAACTCTTAAAGCCAGCTGAATTGTGGATCTCCCGCTGGCCGTCTGCCATTCAACCAATAAGACTCGTCCGAGCCGATCGATCGCTTGTTTTTGCCGGTGCAACTCGGGGAATTTCTACCGACGGCAATGGAATTTCCTTCGTTCCTTCAAAAAGGGGCCGTTGTCTTGTCTGGTTTCCACTTCTGATGGGCTGCGTCTTTTCAATTGCTCGGATAGTTGCAGGGAATGCCTGGATCCAGTCGCTCGTTTGACCTCTCCTGATCCCTCGTCGACCGGTATCACGCTCGTTTTCTTGTTTATCTCTTCTTTCTCCTGACTAAATTCGTCAATACATTGCACCTCGCTCACTCAGTTTGTGCTACTGGCGCAATTGCAACATGAAAATGATCATCCGGAGCTCATTGCTGGCCCTGCTCGCAACCACCGCTTCCGCAGTCGGCACGGGAGCCTGCACCACCAGCGTCCAGCAGGCTGTCCAGAATCCCTCCTTCGAGGACGGTACCACAGACTGGACTATCGCGACTGGAGCGGCAGGAAGCGTCTACGACACCTACCGGACTTCGTCAGCCCCCGATGGCAGCTACGTCATAGCCATCAATGGCGATTTGGCCTCTAACGGCCTCTCCCAGACCCTGACCGATCTGGCTGTGGGGAGTACCTATACGCTCAGCCTGTACTGGCAACTCTTGTCGATAGGCACAGGAACCTGCTCGCTCAACGTCTACATCGACTCTGCGGAGAGCAGCAATGTGGCGGCCACCGGGCAGCTCACATCGGCGAGCAGTGCCTGGACCCAAGTCACTGGCCAGTGGACGGCGACCAGCACAACACACGAATTGATGGTGGATTTCACCTGCACGGCTGGCAGCTTCTCGAGCAGCTCGGAGGTTAATTTCGACGACATCACTTTCACTGGTCCTACCGTGGTCAACTGCCCAACTTCGACGGTACAGACTTCAAATTCGACTCCCACTCCGACGCCCTCCGTTGCTTCAGCATCGTCCTTTACGCCTGTGGTTGCTATGACTTCTTCTAGCAGCCCAGCTGCCACATCCTCCCCGGTGCTCTTCACCTCTGTTCCCGTGCAGAGCAGCAGCAGCGCATTCACCATCATCCCCTCCGTTCGTCCATCATCGGCAGCGGTGCGGCCATCGTCCAGTTTCCCCGTGCAAGCGTCATCCGCCTCATCATCCGTTCGCGTGACGCCAAGCCTGCTGACCCCAGCTCATCAGCTCTCGGCCTCATCATCTAGTGCGCCGTCCAGCTCGGCTGCAGTCCAGAGCCTCACGTCCACTGCCCTCTTCGGTAGCAGTACAGCGATCGCGGCGACCGAGACGGACGTGAACGCGGTGACCTCCACTGTCTATGCGACCGTTACCGCGACTTTCACCGTCGCATGTTGATGAGCCTAATTCTTATCGACGGAGTGTTGAAGGTTGAAAGGCTCTAATACCATGATAGCGTTTGTTTAATTGTACTCATGCGGGGGAAAATATTGTAATAGTAGAGCAGTTGCTTTTGAGTGTATCTATACCCTCCGTCGCCGCCAATTTCACAGCTTGTAATAGATCACACATAATGTTTTAGGACCATAATAAGATAAATTGTTGCATTAAAAAAATCAATAAGATAATCTAGAAGCATACAAGAAGTAATACAGTCACCCCAAACCTGATCAAAGGTTCTTGTCGATTTTTGCATGATTTTTGAAATGTATAACCTGTTGTGGAATTGGTGCCCACGGAGGGTAGAGTTATCCTGTTCAGGCTTAGGTCTTATCATATTATCGAAGATGCGGTTATAATTATGTTGGCGCGTCCTATTACACTCATCTGAATTCCAGGCAAGCGTTAGGGGTCACGCTCAAGACAACAGTTGTCTATTAAATCGCACCTTGAAGTGGTAATTATAATCAATGACTCACCGTCTCGAGAAGCGTCTCCACCCTCCCCCAGCCGCGAAGGCACAACCACTTCCCGACCCCTTACTCGCCAGGTAGTATAGTTGCAGCAGGCCGGTCTCCGTTGTTGTCGTTCGACACGGCCCATCGAAGGCAGCTAGGGGGAAGTAGAGAGTATGGTGTATGCTTCCGTGAAGCTCAGGACTTGGCTTTGTGTTTATTTCGAGGAGGACCCTGGAAAAGGCCAGCTATCGATTGAGGCATTGACAAATTGATAAACATGTCTTTCTCACGCATCTCGAAGTAGGCTCCCCTGGCTGCATATAAAGCACCCTATATCATATCTCTCACTCGATCTACTAAACTTTCAATGTAAGAAGATTCTTGGATGTAGAAGACATGTTAGAAGATTCTACTGCCCAAAGGAGGATTGCAGATGATACAATCCTTGATTCAGCTACGACTACTATGTTTTTTCTTTGTTTCTTATGGTTTCATCCTTCCTGCACTATCACCACACGGTGCCGAAAGGAACCTGGAAGATTCAAAGACTAAAGAAAAAAAGGCTGAGGTAACGAAGACCTCCGGGATGGGAGCGCCAGCAACTTCTCCCGAAGGAGGTTCCACGAGTCGTCCACCCCCCGGAGGATGGATATCATCATGGTCACCGCCCTCTGGTACTTTGTCAGATCCTCGGGGAGCGCAAAGTCGAAGTCGAGCTGGCCGCCCTCGGTGTCTCCGAAGAGGAAGCGCGCGTGGCCCTCGCGGACTACCACCTCGCCCATGTACATCCGGCGCAAATGGGGTCGAGCCTGACGCCGCAGCTGCCACCACTCGTTGGCTTGCAGGCGCGCTGCGTCCCAGTCCGCGTCATCCGGAGACCAGATGATGCCCAACCGCCAGCTGTCGGGCGGCTCGGCGGTTTCATCGTTCAGAAAGGACATCGAGTCGTCAGACATGATGTTGTTGTCGGGGATGGTCCCGTCAGAGATGGTGTCACTGTCAGACATGGTGCCGTTGTCGGGCAAGGTGTGCTCGTCGAACATGACGGATCTATGGTCGAAAGGGATCCGGGTGGGAGATAGAGAAAGCAAGTCGGGTGTTGGTAGGGTTGGAAGTAACAATAACGGTGGTAGCGTTCACCTCTATTTATAGGCTACCTGTACAAGTAGCATCTCAAGCATAGACCCCTTGCAATCTCAGGACTATGGGCGAAGATTCTCTCTATCGACTACCAGAATTTCTCGGCTTCTTTATCCTTTGCCTTGCTCGGGTGAACATCGTCTCTATCCTAGTTCTTTGGTTGGTTTCTCTGTTCTTGTTTGTACAAAGGGCGGAACCAAGATAGGTGACCATACACTGGCAGGAGAAATATTAGATTGTATAATAATACTGTTCTTCGTAAGATACTAAGCAGCACCTCTGTAAGCTACCTCAATGAGATCTCCAAAAGGTAAACTTGAACTATTATCAATCAGTCACCGCCTCGAGGAAGGTCTCAGCCTGCTCTCATCAGGCCCGTAGCTGGGCGGGCAGACCTCCTGATGACTATACTAAAATTTCTCTCAAGGCCTTAAGAGTACTGTCTTCTCCCTATACGTAGAGAGAAAGTGGATATCACTGATGAGTGTTGGGAATTTACTAGCCTTTTAGTGTAAGAAGGATATTGATAGATAAGTACTTGAAAATATTACTAGCGAAGAGAATCGGTAAAGATGATATGATACTTTATCCGAACTAAAGTGCTGTTTTTGTCTGTTTTTGTCTGTTTTGTTTTCTCCATTCTTTTTTTCATGTGTCATCATCTGTTTGAATATTTTTGTATCTTTTTTTTTTATTTAATTAGTTTGGGGAATGGGCAAAAAGGAAGGAGAAGGATGAAGACCTGGAGGCAAACGAACTAACACCCGCGTAGTATCAATGCCAGCTCCTCCAACACTTCCAGTGTATGCTCCCACCAATCACCCTCGGCCCAGATGAATTCTCCCAAGACGTTAGCCTTGGCGAAAAACTTCTCAAAATCCTCGGGCCGTGAGAGGTCGAACTCGAGCTTGTCGCGCCCCATGAAGCTGGCCGGCCCGTCCTCGGGGGCTCCGTGGACGAAGCGCGCGTGGTGGCCGCGGACCAGCAGCCCACCCATGGGCACCTCCACCAGCTCGGGCTGAACTGCCCGCATCTCCCGCCACAGCTCGTCGAAGGCCACAAGCGCCGGTCCCCACTCATCGCCATCCCGAAGCCGCCTGATTGTCATCCGATCGGCGGGCAGCTCTGGTGTGGAGGTTGCAGACATGATGTTGGAAGTGTTGAAGGTTATCCTAGTGGAAGGGGATGACAGGCAAGTTCGGGGATGGTGAAGAGGAAAGTGACAGGTGATGGTGAGGGCATTGGGCGGTATTTATAGATTATCTGTGCAGTATGATCTGGCAAAAGGAACCCAGATATTAGGAAGTATAGGATAAAGCATCTATCCAGCGACAGGCTGCCCGCCGGCAAGTCTTTTTTCATATGCTTTATGCCTTCAGGTTGTTCTTGTGCACTCCTGCTTTGTCTTGGCTCTTTGGCTTGTTTGTCGGTCCTGATTTGTGGCAAGGACGCAACAAAGATCGCTGACTTGTGCAATGGCGAGGGCTGAAAGAATTTTTGTAGTAGGTGATAAAGGCGTGATGACACTCAATGCTGGTTTCAGAATAGCCATGTTTGCGGCCGTCAAAACTACAAAGGGGACGCTTTTGAGGGAGAGTCAAGCTGCTCGGCTGGAACGGTCCCAGTAGGCTGCAAAGCAAGAGTTTGACCAGTGGAGACGAGGGTCTGAGCAGTCTGGACAACGATTGAGAACAAGAGCTTGCATTTTGGATGGTGGTGAGTGGGCTAATCGATCTGTTTCTTGGTAGTTAATGCTGACTGGATTTAAAGAGAATCTTCACCGTATCACCGGCCCGGGCACGTGTTCCTCCAAAATGCAGACTCAGAGGCATTCCAGTATCGAATCGTTGAATGTAAGTGTCATCCAATTTATACATCAAGGATGTTAGCGGTGCGGGGAGATAGCAGGTCCCTGTAGTGTTTCTTCGTTCTTAATCCAACTCTCTCTGTGGCAAGGAACGACTACTTTCGCTGTCCCTGTGTGTGGTGTTCTGACAACAAATGTTCTACAATCTGCCATTCCGCTGGCTGGGACCATATGAAAAGCGAAGTGTCTCCCTTGGTGTGTCGGCAAGGCCTGCAAGGAAAGTGAAGACACTTGATCAAAACCAGAATGATGCAAACAAAAACATACAACAGAAGGGATTCGCTGGTGGTCACCCACCCAACTACTAACCTCCCGGCGTGTGGCTTAAGTACGGCTGAGCGGACGGGAAGCCCTGGTTTCCACACCCTGTGGTCGTATGTGCCTGTGGTGTGCTAAATCCCCGATATAACACATAAACATGGCAAAATCTTGAACCAACGAAGTTCGTATAACCGTGAGCAAGTCGTCCCGTGGCCAACGCGCAAGATGGCAGAGATTCGAGATCAGCACCACTTTACTGCGAAAGGGTTTACCAGCACAGTCTTATTCTCCAACGGGCTCAGCCACACCCTGTCGATCTCCGCGGAGCAAGCGCTGTCACGAACTCCATTGACATCATAGGAGGGTTAACCCACAGTGAGTCAAACCTGTTCTTGTCCTCACGGCAGCTGAAACCCTTCTCGTTGAAGCATCAGCCACAGCCATGCTTAGCCACCTCCCTTCCACTGACACACAGGTGGATCGCTCGCATGAGATATCCGGCATCTCCGGCCGTGAGGGCAGAGTCCGGACCAACCGAAGCGTGACCCGCTCCCAGCTCGTCGGTACCTTCGGGTTAACCGTTGGATGACGCCGACCTTGACTCGCAGTTTCGGTACGACAGACAAAACAATAGGGCCGCAACAAGCTATACGAACAAGGCCACATTAGTGCCAATCAGCAGTTACTGACGAAAAGAAAATTTTCGCAAGCGAGTCGATGTAGCGACCCTCCACTGCGGGTAATTGGTCGAGTACCCGAGTAGGCTCCACCGGGCGTTATTCCCTTTCTATGTATAGCCTCAAGCTTGCTGTGTTAACCTATGCATGGTTCCGTTCATGAACTCGTGTTCGTTCGAAGTTATTCATTCGAGCCTCCTTTCTTCGAGTCGTCCTTGTTATTCTGGTCTGTAAAATGTGTGTTGTGGCGGCAGGAGTTAGGTTGATATGTTTCTCCACTGGTATGTTTGATGAGAGTAAATAGATGTCCTTGTTTCCCTTCGGATCTTACGGATTGTAGCTTCGACGCTAGTGAAGTATGATCTGGCGCAGGTGAATGTGGCTGAGGCTATTAGAAACGGCAGTGGCAGCGCACAAGGGGTTTCTGTAGGGGTCCAGGTTCGGATTGTGGCTTGGTGGATCATGAACCTTTTATGATTTTTCTTCTTGTGGCTTTCTTGTTTGTGAAGTCGCAGCTTTAAGAACTTGGTGTTAGCCACATCAAGCTTTATACCCAAGAGCAAAGAAAACTTCGCAGGATTTTTGGACTAACACGGACGGGGCCAACTACACGGTACCTTAGTCCTGCACTCCGCACTCAACACCAGTCAACACAATTATTGATCACCATTCAACCAATCAAGATTTGGGAATACCAATTGATACAATGGCGACATCCTCGAATCACCCTGCAGAGAATGCAAAGTTCCGCATCCTAATGCTTCATGGTATGGTGCGGCCCTCATCATCAGTATCACGATTTCCCTATCGACTAACCAACCCACCAGGCTACGCCCAGACGGCCCAGGCCCTCCGCATCAAAACCCGCCCTCTCCTCAAAGATCTCACCCAGACTCTTACTCTGGTCATTGAACGAAAATATCCTGGAGGTATTGAATACCTCTTCCCCAACGGACCCATCGACCTCGACACCAACACCACCTCCTTCACCACATCTAAGTCGCACCTCACAAACGGAACGCGATTAGCATGGTGGCTCAACCTCGACGACACAAGCCGCTACATCTTCCTCAATGACACGATACACTACCTTTCCGAATACCTAGAGGGCACGCCCATTCACGCAATCATAGGCTTCTCGCAGGGCGCCGCGCTGGCAGTGATGCTCGCGGCGATATGCGAGGCCGCCGCCGATCCGCAGCGGTTGCAGGCCATGCAGACACAGAATCTCCCTGTCGGTACCTTCCTGCGGTCGCTTCCAGGTCAGAAATCCCTTGAATTTGTCTTAAGCTTCTGTGGCTTCCGCGGCACGATGGAGTATTATAGCAGTCTGTACACGCCGGCGCTGTCGACGCCGTCGTTCCACGCGATCGGTGTATTTGATACCATGATCACGGCGGAGGAAAGTCGCGAGTTGTTGGAGGCGTTTGTCGCACCGGAGGTGCGGTGGTTCTTCGGGGGGCATTTTGTACCAAGGGATACGGAGAGTATACAGCAGGTTGTCGGGTTTCTGAAGCGGGTATGTTCAAAGAGGGCGATTGGAGATACGAGGGGGTTGGGGGCTGCATTGACGATAGACTCGGGTTTGGATTCAGAGTTGAGCGTGTCGAGTTCATCGGGTGAGAGAAGGAGATTGAACAGGGTGGAGGTGCGTGTGAGGAGACGGTCTCCGGTTCAGATGGCGTGGGGAAGGCAGGGTTCCGCGGTGAGGCTGGTGCTGGCGGCTTGAGTTTTGTACTGTACCGAATGGGGAGTAATGGACAAACTGAGTGCTATGCGGCATGGCAATTGACATGATAGCCACGAATATGTAATTAGAAGAACTGAGGGGAATTGAAACATGATACTCAACTGAGGTTTGGCAGTAGCTTAACCCCCAATACATTCCTTGCATTATTCCTCAATTCGGTCTGGGCAAAAGAGATTGTCTGTGTCTCCAAGGTTAGACCATGCGCACACCACTTTTGGGCCTGTGCTGGGTCTATGATGTACACACTTGTTTTTCTAAGGTCGAATATGGAATGAATGGCTCGATGTTCCTGTTGGAACATGTTTGGACTTGGTCATGATGCCGCCACCGCTGGTCTGAATGCATGTCGATACTGGTTCCGGCGACCATGGCAGCCTGCATCTGCAGCAGGAGACCCACACTGCCCAAACATGGAAGTTCGAAGACATTGCCAGCATCGAAGTTAGCAAGGATAGGCTAATCTGTATTTGTGTATACAAGCTTCGAGAAAAGTAAAGCATTGGGATCTAGATACTGTTTCGGTGATGTGAATTAGAATTGTATTGGTGGTGGTTAGTGACCCGATTCTGCGTTCTACATGATCACCTCTAGTACAGTACAAGGTGCATACGTGGGCAAGGCCAAAGCGGCAATTCTAAGCCCCGTCCCTGAGTCAATCGGGGCAATCCAACCGCGCGGGTAGAAAACCAAGTTTTCAGACAAAATGGTCCACCGTAGCCACTCATTTCCTGATTTGAAGCCAGAGCATTGTTCCACATGGTCCTCCCCATAATACCCCATCTTCAATCTGCGGGGTACGGTTCTCCGCATTTCCTGAAGAAATTCTACGATGATGGCATCATGTATTCTGAGCACAAATATTTAAGCCTTGAACTATCCTACGGAAGTGGGATAATAGACCATTTTGAGCTCATCACAATCAGCAGTCAGAATGCAACTGTCTGTTCGCGGGTTACTTTCACTCGGCCTGCTGGCCACAGCGCTTCCTGCTACAGTATGCGGTGCCAACCGATCCTCAATGCTGCGAACCGTGGTGACCACCGACCTCGAGCAGGACGACTTGGCCTCCCTGATCCGATACCTCCTCTACACCAACGAGCTCGACACCCAAGCAATCATCTATAGCTCCAGCCGGTACCACTGGTCCGGTGACGGCAATGGAACCAAATTTTTCTTGCCCGATCGCGAGTACAGCAGCCCGCAGTGGGCGTGGCGCTGGACCGGCACACGCACCCTACAGGACAAAGTCCTCCCTGCTTATGCCGAGATTTGGCCCAATCTGAACAACCACGATCCCGCCTACCCGACCCCTGACGAGCTTGCATCTCTGATCAAGATCGGCAATATCAACTTCGAGGGCGAGATGGAGCTAGATACCGAGGGCTCGGACCTCATCCGATCCCTTATCCTCGACGATGACTCACGTACGCTGTACTTGCAGGCCTGGGGCGGCACCAACACCATCGCGCGCGCGCTGAAATCGATCGAAGATGAGTACTCGGGCGGGTCGCAGTGGAATGAGACTCGGGATGCAGTCGTCAAGAAAACTGTAATCCTAGCCAGTGGGTTCCAGGACGAGACGTATGCGAATTACATCTCTCTCCAATGGCCGCAGATCCGCGTCGAGCAGCTGGAACCGGGATACACGACCTGGGGCTACAACTGCAACAAAGGCCAGGGTAACACACGCGGACGCTCCACTGGCGACAACCTGTACTTCACGGGGAAATGGATGAAAGCGCACATCCAGACAGGACCGCTCGGAAGGCTTTACCGCTCGTGGATCGATGGCCAGTCCATGGCCGGCGATGCCCAGGACATTTTCGGGAGCCCAGCCACTGCAAACCAATCTGCGTTTTGTAAAGCCCTGGATCCATACGCCTTCTTGTCTGAGGGAGACAATGTGGTGTTTAATCCCTTGTTGACGACGGGTCTGCAGAACCCGGCAAACCCGAGTCTCGGCGGATGGGGCGGTCGCAGCTACCAGAATTCCACCTCTCCCAATCTGTGGGTCATGGTGTCGAGTGAGAAGAACAAGGCGGGCGTCGAAGTTGACGACTACACCACTGACCGATGGGCTGGGGCGGCGCAGAACGACTTTGCGGCGCGCATGCAGTGGACCCTGACTCCGAAATATAGTAGTGCCAACCACCACCCGTCCGTGACGATTTTGAACGGAACGACAGTCGAGGCACAGGCCGGAACGACAGTCACCCTGGTCGGAAATGTCAGCGATCCCGATTTCAACAACGTCACCACCACTTGGTGGCAGTTTTTCGAGGAAGGCACTTACCCGGGCAATGTCACCGTGACGGAGGTGGGAGACGATCAGGCGGAGGTGGAGATCCCCGCCGATGCGCAGACTGGCGAGACCGTCTCAATCATCTTCGAGGGAACGGATGACGGGCATTTTCCATTGACTCGTTATGGGCGTGTGTTCATCCGGATTGTATAGGTGGTTTGTTTGCTCAGAGGCATGGTCATGACAATGACAGCTTAGCATGCTTTCCAGTATTCAGAGATTCGAGCAGCGTGAAGATGAAAGTAATAGAACTTGGAGAGGAGGGGCAGTAACGACGGTCGGCAAGGATGGAGGAGCGGGGAGGATTTCCTGCTTATCGGTTATCCGCTTATCGGTCATCTCCTATCTCCGACTTTTTGGCCCCTGCCCCCGTCATCATCTGATCTCATCTGTACGAAGGACTAGTCATCCCATCAATCACGTTAAAAAGCTGAAGCTGTCATCCTGCATAGCACAGTCTGATAATGCTTAGAAATACAGTCAAGTTGTAAGCACTGTGTTTGTCATGCAGCTCCAACACAAATGGATGAAGGAGTTTGTGACAGCAGTGCTGTTCTCCGGAATATATAAACTATGGCCGAAGCTTCGAGGCAACAATGGCAGGTCTGACAGCAACTCGAATCACCCAGGGGCAACTAATTTCGAAAAAACTAATACGTTCGAAAATTCGATGGACGCATCAACTACCGACGAAGCCAAACCGCACTTCCCAATTGTCGGAAGTGATGGGTGGTCCACCGCGGATGAAGCAACCGCAACCTGCTTCTGCGGCGCCGTGCAATTGTCTTTTGTAGGCTTCTATTCCAACAATGTCTTTGCTCAAAGATCTACTAAACAAGCGATTCAAACTGTAGCCAACCCACGGTCCCGGATTCGTGGTCTCCTTCATCTGCAACTGCACCGACTGCCACAAAATCACGGCCTCGATGCACTCGACCGGCTTCATCGTCCACGACACCCACCTGAAACATCTGCGCGGGCAGGCGGTTCTGAAGACATACACGCAGCCTAAATCCCCCGGGAGCGAGACGACGGTGACCAACCATTTTTGTTCTACGTGCGGATCGCTCATGTATCGCGTCAGTGCGGCTTATCCGGGCATGAGTGCGCTACGGGTTGGGACGGTGGACGATTTTTCTTTGCATGAAACGAGGTTGCGGCCGACGGTGGAGTTGTTTACCAAGGACCGCGTAGCGTGGAAGCCTCCTACCGCTGGGGTGGAGCAATTTGTGGCCGATGGGTTGCATTAGACAGAGTGGATGTACAGTACAGTAATCTATGCAATTGATGCATACTCAAAGAATGGCACGTGGTGATAACAGTGTCCCCGTTTTGGGTTTCAATCAAGTTCTGGGCTTATCAAAGTTCTTTAGGAAAAATCTGGAATGGCGGGCGGGATTTGGCTCCAGGCTGGCGGCTGGTCCGCCCGATTGGCTGGTTGCGTGGCGGACGCAGAAAATTCTCAACTCCACCGCACTTTGGCGGGCAAAGAGTGGCAAGTCCACCCGGTGAGGTGAACTGCTGATCACGGGCATGGACTACTGCTCGACATGATTAGCGTTGCATAGGTGTGGCATCAACTGCCGGTTGAATCATGTCAAGTTAATGCTGTAGGTTGGTCTGACAGGGGAGACGATCCTCCTGCCCTCGTGCGATTCAATGGCATTTGCCACGAGGGTTAGGGTTGGGGTCTGGGATTATCAAGATTATCAGCAAACGATTAGCCAAGAGAAACGGAATGGAAGCGTCCAGCGTCTTGGCAACCCCATTACGCAGGGCGCGACACCAATCACGCAATTGACTCACCCGCTTCGTTAGGTAAAATAAAAATTTCTTTTATAGACCGGCCACCTTGCCTTGCACACTTTCTTTCCCTCTTGACATTTCTTGAAAGTTGTTGCCTCTTGTGTGTCGTGTGTCGTGTGTCGTGTGTCGTGTCGTGTACCTGTCTCAGAGTAGCAATGGCCTCAGCATCTGCCAACCACGAGGTGGACGCCCAGGAAGCGCCGCAAGCCGTAGACATGCCGCGCGTGTCTCGGTTTTCCGGGGTCAAGTCCATCTATCGCTCGATTCCCTTTCAGATTGCCATCGCCAGCGGTGTCTCGTTCACGGCGCCTGGTATGTGGGATGCCATGAACAACCTTGGCGCTGGTGGAGCTGCTGAGCCCTACGCTGTCTCGGCGGCCAACGCCCTGGTCTATGGATTGTTCGCCATTGTCTGTGTGGCCGCCGGCGCCATCAACAACCGCATCGGTCTGCGCTTCGGGTTGGTCCTGGGAGCTATCGGTTATCCCATCTATGGTGCTGGTCTCTACACCAACAACTATGCGCCCACCACCTGGTTCATGCTCTTTGGCAGTGCCTTGTGTGGTATCTCCGCCGGTTTCTTCTGGGCGGCCGAGGCGGCGATCATCATCGGCTATCCCAGTCCGGCGGATCGCGCTTTCTATTTGGGTATGGCAATGTTTATTCCCATGATTCCAATGAAATGCTAACAGCTTAACAGCCATTTGGCAAACTGCCAAAGCCGCTGGTCCGATTGTCGGTGGTGCCATCAGTCTAGGCCTCAACGCGCAGACCTCGTCCAAGGGTACCATCAGTGCAGGCACGTACATTGTGTTCATTGTGATCATGTGCCTGGGCTTCCCGATCGCCCTGTGCCTGAGTCCGGCGGAGAAGGTGCAGCGTAAGGACCGGACGTTGGTGGTGGTGCACAAGCAGGAGTCGTGGGCGGCCGAGTTCAAGGCGGCGGTGAGCCTGATCTGGACGCGGCGCGTGCTCATGTTGCTCCCCGCCTTCTTCATCAGTTACTTCTACAACGCCTTCTCCAGCACGTGGTTGACCGACTACTTCACCGTCCGCTCCCGCGCCTTCTCCTCCTTCTTCACCAACTTCGCCGGTATCGCCTCCTCGTTCCTGATCGCCGCTCTCCTTGATCGCCAGTCCATTCACATCAAGACTCGTGCCAAGATCGGCTTCCTGTCTATTATCACCGTCCTCACGGGTACCTGGATCTGGGCCTGCATCCTGCAGAGCCAGTTCTACAACGCCCCGGAGGCCCCCACCTTTGACTGGTTCACCGGCGGGTTCGGCAAGTCCTACGCCCTGGTCTTCTTCTGGCAGTTTGGCGGCCAGGCCTTCCAGCAATTCCTGTACTGGCTGGTCGGTCAGTACAGCACCGATATCTCTTCTCTGTCCTACCACTGCGGAATCCTTCGTGGATTCGAGGCGCTGGGACAGACCGTTGCCTGGGCGTACGTTTTCCCCCTTGTTCTTTGATTGCTACAGGAACTGACCGAAACAGTATGCAAACCGAAGGCAACGTTAACCACTTCGCCAGCATTGGCCTCAACTTCGGCGTCACCTTGCTGTGCGTCATCCCCACTTGGATCGTCCTGTCCGGCCTGGAACACAGCCACGAGGTGCAGGTCACCGCCGAGGATGTCCAGGCCAAGACTGCGGACGACTCCGAAGCCTAAAATGGCACCCCCATGGATTTTCAACAAAATCCAACACGAATATATAGTATTTAATATTTTAGCATGAGATACCCCTTTTTCAACAATCTGGCATCGTTTAGCGTGGAGTGATTTGTGGTGGATTCATGGAATGGAATTTAATTTTTACCTTTGTTACTGTTATGATCGGTCTTTTCTGCTTCCGTCAAGCGTATTTGATCTGTGGAAGCTGAAACCTTCTACAGGCAGCTTGCGATTTACATATACTACCATTATCAGATTTACGACAACGAATCAAGCGTGATGAAATACTGGTCTATATTATGCGACTATGCTTTGATCTATATTTTGCCACAGTTTTGACCTATGCCTCAGCCCTCCCTAAGAAAGCAGCCATCCTCCGATACATCTCCACCGGGTTGGAGTACATGGGGAAATGCCCACTCTCCGGGATGAGCGCCAGCTCGACCCCCTCCTTCTCCAGCCGGGGCAGATACGACAACCCGGCGTTCTCCTCCCCGAACATGAACATCTTCGGACACGACAAGCCCAAGAACATCTCCAGTAGACTGCCAGAGTCGGATAGCTGGACCATGGACTCGAAGATCGCACGCACCGCGCCGGCGCGCACCCTCGCGCGAATGGTGCTGGCGTACAGGGCACTTCCGTAGGAGCTTGCGGTCGCGGTGCGCGCGATGAATGCATCGAGGAAGGCTTCCGGGTCGTCGGCCGGGAAGAGGAAGATTTGCCGGCTCAGGAAGCAGTCTTCTGGGGCGAGGTTGCCTTTGATGTCTACGAAGCTTAGCACGCGGGTGGGATGGCGGTGCGCGAGGAGGAGGGCGGTCAGTCCGCCCATTGAGTGGCCCATCAGGTGGAATTGCTCGATCTGGTAGTGTGCGAGCACCGCTTCGGCGGTGGCGACTAGGAAGGGGATGTCGGTGGCGGAGAGGTTCGTGTTGGTGGTGTGCCCGCAGCCCGGTGCGTCAAAGGCAATGTAGCCATATTGCTGGAAGGCGGGACGGATCGCGATGTCGGCGAGGTCTTCTTTGCATGATCCGAAGCCGTGGAGGAAGAGGATTGGGGGTTTGCCGATGTTCAGGTTGTTGTGGACGGTGGCGATGTTGAGACTCACGCCTTGGACTTGGAGGGGGATTGTTTCGTATGTGGGCGGCATGGTGAGGGTGGGCTGTGAGGAGTGGATGTATGTAGATTGCTGATTCCTAACCGGCGGATGTAAAGCATTTATTGTATTTATTGTCGGGCCTCAGATGCAAGGGCGATTTAGGTTTCGGTCCGCCACCTGCAGGGTCGATGGATGGGGGCGGCAGAAAGTCGTCTTGCCGACCTCGGCATTGCCCCCCGGTCGGGATCGGTGCGTTTCCCCGACTATGCTGAGATAACGCTCATAGTTAATTCTGCTGTATAAGGTGCATGGGGTAATTGTTCCATCTTCTCGCCGACATCTCAATTTCAGGCACTGTAATAGTTCGTCCTTCTGGCAGCAGCTTCGTTAAGAATGGCAACATCGTTCTTCAATCCGCAATTACGATTGCTCAATGCCCTTCGAGCTGGTGCAAAGCCGGTTATGACCTTCTTAGGGCTTCCGTCCTTCCGCACAGCACAGATCGTAGCTAAGACCGGTGTCGATGTCAGTACCATAGCCCTATAATCATGAGACTTTTTATTGACGAATCCAGGGTATCATAATTGACTGTGAACACGGTAACATCAGCGACGATGCCATGCACAGCTCAGCGGCTGCCATCGCCGCCATGGGCGTTTCGCCGCTGGTCCGGCTCCGAATGACCCACCCGGATCTCATCAAACGAGCTCTCGATGCAGGGGCGCAGTAAGCATCTGGCTCACCTTACCCTTGTGAGATGTGCTAATGCAATGCACAGTGGCATCGTCGTGCCCATGATCAACACCGCCGAAGAAGCCCGGGCGGTTGTTGCGCATGCGAAGTTCCCGCCGCAGGGGCTGCGAGGGCAGGGATCCGCATTTCCCGCCTTTGCCCACGGCATCGACCTGCCGACTTACATCAAGACGGCGAATGAGACGCTCATCACCTGTGTTCAGATCGAGACCAAGTTGGGGGTGGAGAATGTGGATGCCATCTGTGCTGTGCCGGGTGTTGGTGAGTACTTGGCCCGACCCATCTTCTAGCAGACATTTTGTTGATTGTATGTTCAAGATATGATCTTCATCGGCCCCAATGACCTAGCACTATCAGTCTTGGGCTATGTCCCTGCTAACGGTGATGAGCCGGAATTTGTCGAGGCGATTGAGAAAATCCTGGCTGCGGCCCGCAGGCATGGTAAATGGGTCAGTCGATTGTCCAACAACGGGGCTTTATGTAAAGAGCATCTAAAGGTGTTTGATACGGTGGCGTTGAGTTATGATATTCGCGCCATGCAGAACTGGTATACCAGTGAATTGCAGCTGGCGAGATCATGATAGGCAGCGACATGAGCGCCGCTACTTTGGATTGTAGACAGACTATTTGATTTCTGGGTATTGCTTTTTGCTTTATGTGATACTCAGCGGAGTAGATTCTGGACATACATGTATCTATTGAACATTGGTACAATAGTCAACTTACTGTTATTCACCTTTCTCTTTCGGTATAGAATAGTATAATTTCTACTACCAGGCTTTCCAACACGGCGAATCTCTTGAAGGGCTCAGTAGATGCTTGGGTCATCAGTGCTCAAGATTTGCAACACAGCTCGACTACGTTGAAGACTGTAGTATTTTCTAGGAAATTGGCTATCGAGGGAAAACAGAGTTCATTCACCACACCCACAATACCTACTCTACATACCAACTGAAATAATGGGCCGAGGAAAGAGCAAATGCGCGACCTTTAATCAGTTCCTTCACTCTCCTTCCCATGCCGCTGCAATGTATGGTAACCCAACTTCTTCCGTGCCTCAGCGATAGTGGCACCCCCAGCAATCATCTCCCGGATACCCTCCTCGCTCTGCTCAATTTTGCATGCGACTTCGGCCACCTCGCGCGCCCGAGCACGGGGCACAATGACCACGCCGTTCGCATCGGCGACAACGATATCGCGCGGGTTGACGCGGACCTTGCCAATGCCGACCGACTCGTTCACGCCTCCGACCTGCACGCGGTCTTTACCCGTTCGCATCCACCGACCAGCTGTGAACAGCGGGTAATCATCGCCGATGGCACGGTTCACATCTCGACACACCCCGTCGATCACAGTTCCGGCGATGCCTCGCAGGCCGGCGTACTGAGTCATAATATCTCCCCAAACTGTGCAGTCCGTGCGACCGCCATTGTCAATCACCACAATATCGCCCTCGGCCACATCATCCACAAAGTCTCCCACACTACCCGGCGGATCGCTGGCCGGCACATACCTCACGGTGAAGGCCGGTCCGACGGTGACTTTGGTATAATTCGCAAGAGGCATGATGCCGAACGCCTGGCCCGGAATGCCCAGTTTATCCAATGCATCTGACACCGCTGGTGTATCGGAGTCGGCAAACAGCGCCACAAGCTCTTTGTCTTCTGGAATGGCGGACTTTGGATTCCGCGGAGATGGTACGAGTTCTGGTGCTGCAGTCTGTTGCGGGGTTGGAGCGCTGTCACTCTGCCGAATGGCTTCGAATTGCGAATCGTGCATCACCTCCGAGACCGGGTGACCGGCACGGACAGCCTCCACCATGCGGGCCTGGCGACGATCGATGCGTTCGGCCAAATCCAAAACCTCGCCAATGCGCGCAGCTGGTACAAACACCGTCCCGCAGTTGTCGGCAATCACATAATCATCCTGATGAACTGTGACTCCGCGTACCTGCAAGGGCGTGCCTGACGCCACCTGCACCAGCCGATTGCGGGCGCTAATCATCGTCACCCCCCGGCCGTACACGGGGTAGCCCACGTCGCGGCTGCCGTCAATATCGCGACTCATGCCATCGATGACGGTTCCGCGAATGCGCTTCTGCTTAGAGGCGTTGGCGACAATGTCGCCCCAGCAAGATATGCCTTCCGTCCCGCCTGCGATGACCAGGACGCGGTCATCAGTGGTGACGGCGTCGATGACGGGGGTGAGCAGATGTGTGGTCGGCTTCACGTCGGTCTTGGGGCCGACTTGGACGGTGCTGGCACGTCCAACAATCTTCGGACACTCCCAGAGAGGTCGCAGGCCATAGGTGGCCCCTTTGAGGCCAAGAAAGTCTAAGGCATCGGAAATTGTGTTGCTGTCTAGCGCTGCCAGGCGATCAAGAACGCTGGTACCGCTCATTTTTTCGGCTGCGGGTGGGAAGGTGGGTTCAAGAATTGTAGGAAGATGAAAGGTTAGAAACTGTGACCAAATAGATGCCAATGGGTCAGTTCAGGGCATTTCCTACATAGGTGGAGGGGAAGGTCTTATAGATGGCTCCTGAGTAGATTAGATGAGACGCGGTACTATCGGGGAATCGACAGTTGGCCGATAAGTTAGTCCGGACGGTCGGTCGCCACAACGGGCGGATTCTGCCCCCGCCGATCGGAGCTAGAGACAATGAGTCGACTGCCAAGGTTCTTTGAACTATTAGTAGTAACCCTAGAGGCAGATGATCTAGTGCAAAAGCAGGGTCAAACTCAATTTAACTCAGAAGCTCGCTCGGATAATTCAACCACATCGGTGTGGCCGAGAATCCAGCGAGCGACAAACCGATAGACCTATGGGCGATGTGTATTGGCACCGGAGACGCTGTGTACACTGACGATAGCCAATCCACGGAGTCATGGAGATGGTGCAAACCATACGGCACACACAGGAGGTCCACGGTCGTCCGCGGAGCCGTCAATAAGTATCGTCTCCTCGTGACGGAAGTCGCAGATAAAGAAAAGATAGTCCTCTACGAGGCTGACATTGCAACGGAGCTTCTAGGTGGGCTCAAGAATCCGAAGGAGGCAGATCGTCCAATGAATTGGCCCATTGTTAGACGCAAAAAGATACCATACCAGCCTTACAATACCTTCCCTGAAAGGATTACGGCTGAGCTCCAGACGCCTGGATTCTCGCCACTTGATAGAACCAGTTCGATACCCGACAGTTCGGTCCCAGACATGGATGGTAAGACTCGAAGAGGTCAGAAACGGCCGCACGATGCAGAGGAGGATACACCATGCAAGCAGACACGGATCTCCGACACGTCATAGGTGAACCGACGCCAACAGTAATAAAATGTCTGATAATCAGAGACACGTAATTAATGTATACTTGCCCTAGCAGCTGCGAAATCGTCCGTAATTGTTTGAATCAACAAAGGACTCAAGCAAAAATCGGGTCTCTAACCATCGAACAACCGATATAGTGTCACCAGCTCGTACTATGATTCTCGCCCCGGGGCCTCCATCCGCCGATACCCTGGTGCATATAACTCGATTTTTCTCCCATTCCGCCGGCCCCACCTCTGGCCAGAAGACCCGCATCAGATTTGCTTCCCAAGCATTATCGAACACCCCTGCACCGCTGTTCAAAAAACCAACATCCCGACCCCTTGAGAAAAATCACCGTCCTATCTTTGCGGTTTCAAGAAACAGTGAGCGCCATTGCAACTTCCTTGGATAGAGGCCTCCCGCCACTTGCTGAATTCGGGCTTACAACTACTGGCTTGGTACCAACAGCTCCATTTTCTGTTGCGTAGTTTGACATCGTTACAGCAAGATAAGAAGTTCCACCCACCGCGCTCGATTCCATGTACTTGAGCTGTCTGGCACGCTCAACTCGCCTGTGCGCCTCAAGACAGTAGTCCCGAGGGCTGTCCCGGCCAGTGATAGTGACCAGAGATACGCGGTTCCGGCTCAGGAGATGCCCGTCACCGGAGCCAGTGACGCTTTGAACTGCTACACTTGAACTCGATTGGGTTGATTGATTATTTTGTACAGCATCCCGACAAGCATTACGGAACAAACATCAGATCATATCCAGTCATCAAGGTATTTGAAAAAGAGATGGCTTCGGTGGCTGATAGCAGCTCACAATTTGGCTTCGGGAGCTGTCTTCGTCTTTTGGGTGTGCGCATCCCAATCTACCGGCCGACCAGACTGGAATTCACGTACTCCATGGGCGCCATCGCCATCGGGTCGCATCATCTCATGAAAGAGTGCTTTGATCCCGGACGCCTGTTCGTCCTTGCCCGCATGCTTCCAGGCGAGCCTGACCAACTCCTTCGACATGCGCGACGCATCGGGCGAGACCTGCCGCAGGCGCACTAGCAAGGCGTCCAGCTTCTTGTCCAGATCTCCGGGATCCTCTGCGACCTCGGCGACAAGGCCCAGCGAATGCAGCTGGTCGGGATTGACCGGGCGAGCCGAGAGCATGGCCCCACGCGCGAAGGCCGTCCCCCACTCTCGGATGATATACTTGGAGATCGTCGCAGGACAAAGACCCAGTTTGCCCTCGCTCAGCGTAACCGTAGCGAGCTTGGTGCAGAGACGAAGATCACACGCGAACGCCAGTCCAACCCCCCCGCCAAACGCTGGCCCATTCAGACAAGCGATAGTTACCTTCGGACACCGATCAATTACCTCGAACAGCTCCGCCAACCTGGCGAACTGCGCCTCGCTGCTCTCCTTTTCTTGTGCGACCGGGGTATTCTTCCCCAAATCCATCCCCGTACAGAAGAACCTCCCCGTACCGGTGATAACCACCCTCGACACCGCGGGATCCGAACTCGCCGTGTGCATAACAGAGTGCAACTCTGCAATCATCGCAGCAGTCAACGCATTCCCATTCCGCGGACGGTTCAGCACAATCTTGAGATTCACCCCGCAGCGGAACAGCCGCATCCCCTCGGCGTCAATCGCCAAAGTCCACCGGAAAGCCGGCAAGGGCACCTGTCCCTGCGCCTGTGCCGTCAAGGACGGCGGAGTGCACGCCGGCGCCTTCGCAGCCGTCTTACGCGCCAGCGCAACTCCAGCCCGACTCCCATTTTCACCGCCGGGTAGTTGGTTTGCGATCCAGATCCCCGTCTCGACCAACCGGGCCAGATCAACCCCTGTCTCGACCCCAGCCTCCTGGAACATATACACCACATCCTCAGTGGCGGCGTTGCCCTTGGCTCCGGGCGCGAACGGACACCCGCCCAGCCCGGCGACGCTGCTATCGAAGACGCGCACCCCGCAGGTGTACGCCTCCCATATGTTGGCCACCGCCTGGCCGTAGGTATCGTGGAAGTGGCCGGCCAAGGCACCGACGGGAATACCGCCGCTCTTGGTGAGATGGTGAAGGAGATGGCGGACTTTGGCAGGGGACCCCACGCCTAGGGTATCGCCTAGGCTGACCTCGTAACATCCCGCTTGGAGGAGGGCTTGCACGCAGCGGAGCACCGCATCGGGCGGGGTGGGTCCGTCGTAGGGATCGCAGAAGATGCAGCACACGTATCTGACACCGTTATTAGCCTTGTTGACCCTAATGGAGGGGAGGTAGATGAAGATTCAACATACCCTCGCACTGCCAACCCATCCTGCACCGCCCGCCCGACCACCTCCCGCGCCCTCGCAAGCCCCACCTCCACCGAACAATTGATATTTACCCGGCTGAACCCCTCCGTCGCGCTGACAAAAACCGCGATCTCTTTTACATTTAGGGCCTGGCAGACTTTCAGACCCTTAAGATTAGGGACCAGCACCGGGAGCCGGAGGTCAGGGCTGTCGCCGCCTAACGACTGGATGGACGGGTGTTCAAGAAGATTCCTGCAGTCCGCGAGCTGCGGAATGCGGCGCGGGGAGACGATGGAAGTCAGCTCAATCGTTTTGAGACCGGTTTGGTGGAGCCGAAGGATCAATTCGAGCTTGATAGGGGTTGGGATTGGCGTGGTGATGTTTTGGAGGCCGTCGCGAGGACCGACTTCCACAATACGGACTGATGAGGAGGTCATGTTGGTTTCGCGAAGTGAATATATATTCCCGCGGTACCTTTCAGTCGGGGGTGGCTTGTGCATTTTTCATAGACACATCCACACCACAAGGCTAGGTTCTTAAGTACTTGTGGACTGGTAGTCCCCGGACCGCTGGGTGGTTTCTACTCACGGACTGGCGGACCGAGGCTGCTGAGGTGAGAAAGAAAGTGATGCAATTGTCAATAAAACTACAATCTCGCCCGATTCCGCTCCCTCACTCGCACCAGGCGATTGCCCAACTCACGCAGAAGATGTTTTTGATATTTTCCGCTGCCGGTCTTGGGGAAATCCGCGCCGACGCCGGCATCGCCAATCCAGAAGATATGTTGGGGTGCTTTGTGCCGCCCCAGCGTCTGACTGACCCAGTGCCGGAGTTTACTGGGACTGATTCTCTCCCGGGCCTTCAGAAACGCCCCCACCGCTTCCCCGTACCGCTCATCCTGGATCCCGACCACACTGGCCTCACTGATCGCGGGATGCGCCGTCAACCGCTCCTCGATCTCGCGTGGGAAGATATTCTCGCCTCCTATTTGTGCCTGGCGGTCAGCATGCATTCTCAACCAGCCAACAAAAGCATACCCCGAATAATCAAATCCTTAATCCGTCCCGTCACAGCCACAAACCCCTCCGCATCCATCACCACCTCATCCCCCGTAAACATCCACAGCACTCCCGCCTCATCCCTCCGCATCACCTCCGCTGTCTTCTGGACGTTGCGCCAATATCCCCTCTGCACCGCGAACCCCGCCGTACACAGCTCCCCCCTCACGCCGCGCGCAACCACGGCTCCCTCCCGATCCACCACCTTTGCCCACGTATGCGGCAGCACCCGCCCAACCGTAGTAATCCCTTTCTCCGCATCATCGCTCAAACGCGTCATAAAAGTCACCGGGCTTGTCTCCGTCATCCCGTACGCGATCAGCACATTCGGGACCCCCGTCTCTGTCCGGAGGCGGGCCATGAGCGTTGGAGAGACGGGGGAGCCGGCGGCGAGGGCGGTTCGTAAGGATAATGGTTGGGTGCCATTTTGGGCGAGGATGTCAAGGAGGGCGAGGTACATAGTTGGCACGCCGAGGATCACCGTGGCGTGTTCCGTGAGAAGTGTGTTCACGCAGCTAGTGGCGGAGAAGCTCGGGGAGGGAAGAATGATGGTGCTGCCGTGGATGAAGGAGGACAAAAAGCCGAGGACTAGGCCAAAGCAGTGGAATAGAGGGGGTGGGTTGAGGACTTTGTCCTGCGGGGTGAGGGCTAGGCCTTGGCCGACGAAGCGGGCGTTGTTGAGCAGGTTTCTTATTTTTATAGGGTTAGTTGGTATCCGAGGCAGGAGGGGGTTCTGGGAAGGAGGTTTACGTGTGCGTCAACATGGCAGCCTTGGGGGAGCCGGTCGTGCCTTTGATATCTGTGAGTTGAACGACATCTGCGGGATAGGAGGAGGTGTAATTACCGGAGGTGAATTGGAGATTCAGGACGTCTTCCGGGGAGATGGTGCGAGAAATGGCGGCTTGTTCGGGTGGGTTGGGGTGGGCGTTGCTTGTGAAGGCGTCGTAGGGTTCAAGGTCGATGCCTGTTTGGCTGTGGATGCCGTCTCCGATGAGCACGATCCGGCGGAGATCGGGGAGCTTCGGGTTGGGTGATTCTTCGCCTCGAAGAGCCTGGATGTGGTCTGAAAGGGCTCTTGTGCTGATGCTCGCGCTGATGAAGACGAGTTTGCATGCTGGGAGGTGTCAGTCATGGCTTGCACGGGGCGAGACTGTGGGAGGGAAGGGCGTACAGCTCTGGTATACTGCGCTAGTCAATTCTCCTGGGGTATACGTATTGTTCAAGACCACCACGGGACAGCCAATGCGACCACTACCAAGAAAGACTTCGAGGTATTGGTAACAGTTGCCCGCCGTGATGCCTACGCAGTCACCTGGACGCAACCCCATGTTGAGCATCGCCTGGGCGAGCACCCGGCTTCTCTCGGCCAGTTGGCGGTAGCTGAGCCGGACGGACTGCCACGGCACAACCACCGCCTCTTTGGAACCGTAATGCGCTTCTTGCAGGTCGACGAGCTCGCCCAGTGTCTTGTGCCAGAGCGCAGGCTCGGTCGGGCCAAGGACTATAGCGGGAGCGGGAGTCATCGTTGGGGAAGGCTGTGACGTGAACAGCTGAAGTGCAAAGAACTTGGAATAAGGAAAAATATGCCTGAGAAAGCTTTCTCCATTCTATCGCAACATTATATACATCGCATTGTGCAAAGATTGTGGGTGATCCCCCCAGTCTGCTTGCATTGATGGGTTGCGGACCTGCGGGCGGGATCAACCGAAGGCATCGGTCCGAACTTAGGGCAGATCGATCCCCCCCCCCCCCCCCAAAACAGCATGGCCATCTCGATTATTTCATTTCCACCCATCCCAACCTCGTACTTGTTCGGTTCACTTAGACTGCGATACTAAGAACACAGCTCTAGCTGGAATTTGACATTCATCATGGCGATTCAATCCTCCTACCCACCCCCCCAATCCAAACTCGACCTCAACAATCCGCAATATCGGGCCAACCGGGAAACATGGAAGACCGTCCTAGACAGGTTTGAAGAGGCTTTGGAGCAGGTTTTTGCAGAGGGCAACAGTGCCTCTCTGGCACGACATCAAAAACGGGGCCAGTTACTACGTAGGTGTGGATCATCCTCGCAGTGACATCAAGCTGACATCTAAGCAGCCCGCGATCGCATTGCCCTCTTGTTGGACCAGGACTCGCCCTTTCTGGAGATCGGGGCCTTCGCTGGCTATGGGAACCCCGATTCGACGCCATGCGCCAATCTGATCGCGGGGATCGGGAATGTTAGGTACGCCTCCTCATTAGCCATCTATGGCACCACTGATACTCATCTCATAGTGGCCGACCATGTATGCTCATGTCACATATCCCGACTCAGAGCGGCGGGGCCTGGAACGAGATGACAGGTTTGTCAAGGCACTGAACCTGGAGAAACCGTACTAACCATCCATCCAAGTCCTCAAAACGAACCGGATCATGGAGATCGCCTTCCAGAATGATTTGCCACTGATCTCACTGGTACAATCAGTACAGGCCCCAGTATACCTTCTCGCAACAAGGTGAATTGCTGATTGCTTATCCTAGGCCGGTGTCTTCCTCCCGCAACAATTCCGAGTCTTCCACAAAGGAGGCCAACTATTCCGGGATCTCGCCGTGCGGACACAACATGGCAAGCCCTCCTGCGCCCTCGTCTTTGGCTCCTCGACTGCTGGAGGAGCCTATCACCCCGCGCTCTCCGATTACACGATCTTCGTCGAAAACCAGGGGCAGGCGTTTCTGGCGGGACCGCCGCTGGTGAAGATGGCGACCGGAGAGGTGATCGAAGCGGAGGAGCTGGGCGGGGCGAGAGTACATGCCACGAAGACTGGACTTGCGGATCAGATCGCGACAGATGAGTAAGTGCGACGCTCCCCGTATATACAGTAACACCAGTTGATCCACCAGATGTAGGCTGGACGCAATCCGCAAGGCCCGAGAGTGGGTAGCTACCCTGCACAGCCCATCAACCACGACACTCATCGACACCATCGAGCCCTTACCCCCAAGATACCCCGTCGACGAGCTTCTGAGTCTGGTTAACCCCGATATCCGAAAGCCCTTTGACATGCGCGAGGTTCTGCTGCGGTTGATCGACGACTCGCGATTTTCGGAATTCAAGCCGGAATACGGACGCAATCTGATCACGGGGTGGGCGTACTTTTACGGTAAGTCCATTCCTCGTTCATGTTCTTCCCAGCGTTCCCCGGCGAATTTTATCACTAACCCGACGATTAACCCAGGAATCCAAGTCGGTATCATCGCCAACCAAATGTCAGTGATAAACCCAACTGAAGCCGCCAAGGGCGCGCAATTCATCCGCATGTGTAATCAACAGTAAGCTCCCCTACCCCACCCCACCTCCCATTTCTTTCCTATCCCTTCGCTAACAGCTTCGTACTGATAAGAAACACCCCCCTGCTCTTCCTCCACAACGTCACTGGCTTCATGGTCGGCGCAAAAGCCGAACACGCCGGCATCATCCGCGCCGGCGCGCAGCTTGTGGCCGCCGTCTCCACCTCGACGGTCCCGCACATCTCCGTCATCTTAGGCGCCTCCTACGGCGCCGGAAACTACGCCATGTGCGGCCGGGCCTACGGGCCCCGGTTCCTGTTCACCTGGCCCAGCGGCCGGTGCAGTGTGATGGGCCCTGAGCAGCTGTCCGGCGTGATGGAGAGCGTGCAGCGGAGCAGCGCAGCAGCCAAGGGGAAGGTGCTGTCGCCGGAGGAGCTTCGGGCGCGGGTGGAGTGGTTTCGGGCGGCTGTGCAAACCGATGCGGAGTGTTATGCGACGAGTGGGGGACTAGTGGACGACGGAATAATTGATCCCCGTGATACCAGGGATGTGGTGGGAATGTGTCTGGAGGTTGTGGTCAGCGCTGGGATAAGAGGCGCCGAGGGCCATCGGTTGTTGGCAAGGATTTAGTTCTACAGGGGTGGGGAGTGTCTCATCGTGCTTTCTTTTGCCGTGATTCTTGACTCAGGGTCAGGGAGCACCTCCTAATTTATATGCTATGCAATCATCTATATTGTGTTATCAAGAACAGTTTCCTCAAGCATAGGCGTGCATCCTCCATGTAATATTGGGATTAGGTACACTGCACCAAAAAGAAGGAGGAGTGGGGGGGGATAATCAGAATCGTTGCTGTTCCAGGGCATTTGCTCCTTCCTTCTGATCCCAGCATCCAGACTATTAAAATAGAACTTGCCTGGAGTGGTCCTACTGACTGACAGTAATAGAAAGTGTATTTGTTAAATGGTAGAATGGTGTTCCCTAATGACCAACTTGGATGAACGAGGCAGTGTTGTCAATGGCAAGGACTCGAGCAGCTACGACCAAACAGCGCTGCAGCACTCGACTCCACCAACGGACCGACGGATCCACGCCGGCGGAAGCGGACAGCGGTCCGATGCGGGGAAAGCCAAGCCAGACAACCCTAACCATTCCATCCATCGGATAACCTCACCGAGCGGAACACGGAACGGTGCCTCATTCCCTTATCTGCATTGTAACCACCTTTTTTCCCTGCCTCCCCTTCGACTCACGATAGCAATTAGGACTCTCCAACAGCGGTCTGCAACAGAATGACCGTATCCCAAAGCCCAATCTCGCAAAATGCCTCCCCCTCGCGGCCCCCACTCTACGTGGCTTCGCCTCCACTCGACACAACCACCGGCCGCCCGATCATCCAACGCATTTTAATCGCCAATCGTGGAGAAATCGCCGTACGCATCATCCAAACCTGCCGCAAACTCAACATCAGCACCGTCGCCGTCTACGTTACAGAGTAAGCCCGCCCACTCCAGCCTCCCCCGCATAACCTGACCATCTCAAACAGGGACTCCTCATCCCGCCACATTCGCGAAGCAGACATCGCCATCTGTCTGGGCTCCCTGAGCCGCACTACCGACGACTACCCCGAGCAAGAAGCAAACAATCCAGGCAACCCCTTCCTCAACATCCCCCTCCTCATTCGCACTGCCCTCTCGACCCAGTCTCACGCCATCCACCCGGGATATGGCTACCTCAGTGAGAACGCATCCTTCGCAACCGCTGTGCGCGCCGCCGGCCTGATCTTTCTCGGGCCAAGCACCACCGCTCTCACCTCGCTTGGCGACAAACGTGCAGCCAAGACTTACCTGCGCACACACGCGCCCGCCGTTCCCTTGATACCCGGCTTCGTCGGCACCAGCCAGACTCCGGCTGACCTGATCACCGCCGCGACGGAGATCGGGTTCCCGGTGATTCTGAAAGCCTCCGCCGGCGGCGGGGGAAAGGGAATGCGGATTGTCCATGAGCCTTCACGATTGGAGGGGGAGCTAGAGAGAGCGCACTCCGAAGCGGAGCGGGCCTTCGGGCAAAAGGACTGTATTTTGGAGAAGTTTATCGCAGCCGCCAAGCATATTGAGATCCAGATTGTCGGGGACGAGCACGGGACGATCATTGCATTTGGAGAGCGGGATTGCTCCGTGCAGAGGCGGCATCAGAAGGTCGTGGAGGAGACGCCGTGTGAGTTTCTGACGGATGGCATGCGGCGAGAGATGTGTGACACTGCGGTCAGGATTGGAGAGTTGATTCAATATGCCGGAGCGGGCACGGTGGAGTTTGTGGTGGATGTGCAGACGCGCCGGTTTTACTTTCTGGAGGTGAATGCCAGATTGCAGGTGGAGCATCCGATCACGGAGGAGGTGATGGGGTGGGATTTAGTGGCGTTGCAGGTTTATGTCGCAGCGGGCGGCCAGCTGAAGGATTTGCCGGGGTTGGAGGGGGGAGGCTTGAAAGCCCCGGCGCAAGGCCATGCGATTGAGTGTCGCCTTTGTGCGGAAGACCCGAAGAATAATTTCTTCCCAGAGCATGGGAGGATTCAGCTGTGGCGGCCGGCAGACGGGATTCTGGGACCGGGCCGGGATGTGCGATATGAGACGGCTATCCAGACAGGGGCCGAGGTGTCGATTAACTTCGACTCGATGATAGCTAAAATTGTTATCTGGGCGCCAACGCGTGCGCTGGCGATTGAGAAAATGAGTGGTGTACTGGCCCAGACGGCTTGTGTTGGGGTCAAGACGAACCAGCTCTTCCTGCAGCGCTGTCTTCTGAGTCCCGAGTTCCGGAAACCGACGTATACGACTGCATTCATTTCGTCACATTTGGAGCAGCTGTTGCAGTTTCCGGAGGTGCCGCTGCAGGAGAGTCTGCCCCTGATTCCCAGCCTGGTGATCCGGAATTTGGCAGAAACAGGAAATACTCGTGGCCGGCCATTCCAGCACATCCGCAGGCAATTCCGGAACCAGCCCTGCGATCCCGTCAACATCCACTATGACATTGTCACGACCATCACCGGTCCGCAGGCTGGGACATCAAGCATTTGTGTCTGGGATCCACCGGCAGCAGGACAGTCTCCCAATTTGAAACATGTGCGAATCTTACCTGTGCCAGCTGAGACGGAACCCGGCTCTGCCGCCGCTCACTACAACACCATCAGCAACACTCTCCGCGGCGGTTCCATCAAAGCCGTTACCCCAAGAACCATGTGTATTGATTCCTTGCAACCCACAGAGGCCTCTTCGAATCCATCCAGTCTTCCCAGCACCTTCACCATCAAAGTATCAGTCGACGGGCGCAGAATCGGTGCCCACGTCGCCATTCCTTCCCTTGGCATAGCCACAGGAATGGCCGACCGTCCTCAAAGGATCTACTGCCACTCTCCATCTTTTGGGACATACATGGAATTCCAGCGGGACAGTCCGCTCTTGTTCGCGGAGAGTCGAAGGCGGGATGCAACAACCGAAGAGGCGGGGAAACGCACGGTCACTGCGCCCATGCCGTGTAAGATTTTGTCCATCGAGACGAAGAATGGGGACTTGGTGAAGGCAGGGCAGGTGGTCATGATGATTGAGAGTATGAAAATGGAGTTGAGTATCTCCGTGGCGGAAGGGAGATGCGGTAGAGGAGGGAAGGGTGCTTTGTTCGGTTGTCTAGTTATCTGTACGTCTATAGCTGGTCTGAGGTTGAAATATGATACATCCTCTTTCTTTGCACTGAAAGTACTGTGGTCTAGTAACGGTTCTTTCCTTTGTAGTGGCTCAATCACGAGAGGGTTAAGTGACCAGCAGAGAATAGTGATTGGAGTGGTTTGTATTGCCTCAAAGGTTACTGTATAATAGCCCACTCAGTGGAGTTGCAGAATTGCGAGAACCGATATCTAAGATAGAGCCAGGCTTGTCAATCAGCAAGCAGTACATGGTACACTCATTGAAGAGCGACTTAAATCTACAACTTGCTCTGCCCCATCCTGGCGATGGCCTTGATCTCCTGGTTAATTGCCAGATCGGAAAGAATCTCCTCACTGCCACCTCCGACCACCATGACTCGAACATCCCGACTGATCTGCTCAATACGCGCTCCCCGACCATTCTTCGAGTACCCCAGACCCCCCATAACCTGCTGTGCCTCTCTATTGACCATCTCCAGGGTTGTGCCTGCTAACACCTTCAGATTGGCAAACAATCCTCCCATGCCCAAATCCCTTCCTTCCTTGCGCGCCCTATCCGCCATCCAGACCAATTGCTCCATCCATGCATAGGCCGAGTCCAGACTCCGGCCCATTGCACTGAACTTGGTGCGAATCACCTGATTCTCAATGAGCTTCTTTCCGAAGGTCTCCCGCGTGATTGCATGCTTGTACGCGTCCTCTGCACAGACCCGTGCCATGCGGAGCGAAGTACAAGCCAGCCACAACCGTTCATGATTGAAGTCTATCATGGTCCCATCAGCACTGGCTTATCCGCATGCCAAGGGCATACTCACTGTTCATGATGATCGGGAACCCCTTATTTTCCTCCCCGAGTAGATTCGCCACCGGCACCTCGACCTGGTCGAACTCGATATACGTCGAACCTGTGACAGTCAGTCCCACTCCCTATCTACGTGAGAGACGAGAGACAATACCGCTGGCCTCCACCCCGGAGTTCCGGATCTTCCGACACGTCACTCCCGGCGTCCCCTTCAACGGAATGATCAACGCCGAGATGCCCGCAATCCCGGCGCCCCCTGTCCGCACCGCTGCCGTACAATAGTCCGCGAAAATTCCATTCGTGATCCACTTCTTCGCCCCATTCACCACGTATATATCCCCCCGCCGGTCTGCCGTTGTCGTGATTCCGGCGACATCGGAGCCCGCTAGCCATCCGCGAAAGTCAGTATCCCACCCCCGAAATTTACCAAAGAAAAGGGAGAGCGAAATACCATCCGGCTCCGTAACTCCCAAGCAAAAGCGAACCTCCCCGCACACTAACGGCCCCAGGAATCGTTCGTTCTGGTCGGCATTTCCGAATTGCACGACCGGCGGCCCCCCGATGGCGTTTCCGCACCCGAGCGCCCACACTACGCCTAGGTATCCGCAACGTGCGAGCTCGTCGATCACGATCAGGTCGTGGAAGGCATCCCATTGGGCGGGATGGATGTCGCCGGGCAGGCGTTGGTTGGACTGCTGGATGTGGGCGGCTGCGAGCGGATAGAGCCCGGCGGCGGTGTAGCCTTGTTTTGCGTGGTATTGTTGGACCTGCTTTATGGATTAGCATTATATGTGGCTTGAAACTCGGATAGGGAAAGAGAGGGGCGCACCTCGGGCGGAACAAAACCCCGAGCTTCCCATTCTTCGCAAAATGGGGCGATGTGCGTGTCTACGTAGTCCCTGACTTCGCGCTGCAGATGGTGGTGCGAAGGGGTGTAATAGGGACTGTTGGTGATGGGGCGGGTGAGCCAGAGGGGGTCGGCGAAGGGGGTGCCTGGGGGGAACATTATGTGCTTGTAATCAGGCTGGTGGATGATATTTGATGGGTTTACGTTGTAACTGCTGGGATGAGATCAATTGGGATATACCTGGATTAGTGAATAGGGTTGACTAGGGCGCTGTATACGCTGATTATATGTGTACGGTTCTCACAGCAGTGGTAGTCGGGTACGGGCCGGAAACGGGTGTACTTTGTGTGGTTTGTGAGAGTCATCTTGGGCTTGTAGAACAGCATAAGGAATGACAGTGTGTATTACGCAGTAGTATGCCTGCAATTTTCAGATTTTACAGTGCCCCGGGCCTACTCAGATGTCATTCTTGGGTAAAACGAGTGGAGACTCACTCAAAATTGGTTGCCGTTTCGGTCCGATAAGCCCAGTGGGTAACTTAGTGGGCGACCAGTCTGTCTTTATCGGTCCGCTGCTCGGTCCGTTCCCGTGCTGCTTTCCGGGCTAGCCGTACCGTACTAGGTACTTGCCCCGCTACCATTAACGTACCCCGCCTACGGAACCCCGTGATTAGCCGGGGCCTCTCCGGCCTCTACCAGCCTGAGCAGCTGCATCCTCAAGACCGCCTCCATGAACCTCGCCTACTTCTAGTTTGTCTTGATGTCGGTTAGGAAGCGGGGTCTGCGAGGGTCTCTTTTGAGGGCTTGGTTGTAATGTTTTTAAAATGGATGATATGCATGGTTACAATAGGATATGATCATTAACTTTGTCGCTGTGTGCTGGAAAGAGTACAATTGAAGACAACATCTATGTAGAAGTATGTAGGTTTTACAGTCCACGTTCCCTCGATACAGTGGTCGTATCAGCCCTACCTTCCGTCCTCAACCTCAGACTGAAAGCCTCTCCCTGAACAATGTGGGGTAAGGGTGAGAGAAGAGAGTCATAGCTTGGATGGGGACGGAAAAACTGCCTGGGTTCCCTTTCTGCTCGCTCCAATGATGCTCTGATAGCGTTGAACTTGGACTCATAGTTTTGTTTGGATGCTGGGGATATAAATAATATTCTGTGGGATAGCTGAAGCTGGATAAAGTCGGGGATTGAAAGAGCGGGATTTGAAACCCACTTGTCAAGCGGATACACAATCACATTCGCTAAAATGGCGGCCGTGGTTCCAAGGCTACGGCCTTCCATGGTAATAGCTGGATCGTGGTTGTCATTCTGATAAGTATAGTACGCCCAAAAAGAAACCCCCAGGAATCTGGTGTATGGATCCCTTATGTCCACCAGGAATGGCTGCCTAAGGATCTCAGCGACCCGGGAAAAGCAACCCGGTCCGGCCGGAATCGGAGCGATCCGATACACCGAGGAATCCTGCTCAAATGCACCCCGTCCTCGGCGTACTACAATTCAAGAGAAATTCAACTTCATTAAGCCGCAGAGCCGGAGAAAGACCCCGAAACAAATCGTCGTCGCCCAGGTCGATCCTCGAAGATGATGTCGAGATCGGCATGTTCGACCCCAGAGCCCAGGGTGTGGGCGAGAGATTACCGCGGTAATCCGAGCCGGATTCACTAGATGTCTTGGGCAGATTGCTGCCGAGAATGGAATAGTCGAGCATGGCCCACAAGGCCTCGTCGGATCTAGGATCCAGATCGCTCGGTGGGGTGCTTTCGTCGAGCACGCTACTTGTCCCGCGGCGCTGGGCGTGAAAATCACGCAGGCGGATGGCCTAGTTCCGGGGAATTTGTTAGTGATGGTTTTCTCGCCGACATTGAAGTCAACGTACCATGTTAGCGGCATGGGTCCAGACTTGGGCTAATCGATCAAGTATATCAAGAGCATGCTGAAAGCACTCCAGCATATCCGAAGACCGACAAGGAAGCTTCTGATGCTCATCTTGTGACACGATCGAGAGAATGCCCCCCCCCGATCGCCACGGAGTACGCATAGAATGAAGACTCGACGAGTCCGCCCGCCTCGGATACATCCCGGAGGAGACGCACAAGCTGTGTGGCATGATCTATTCCATTCTGCAGGGCGCGGGTGACAAAGCTATGAGGAGCCTTGGAGCCAAAGGGCTGAAGTCGAAGATCAAGAACAAAGGGGTGATTCAGCAAACATTGGCACAGATGGAATAGGGTATGCGCGAAAGTCTGGTGTCCTAGTTCTTGATGATTCGGTGTCCCCGTCGCTTTAGCACTCTGCCGTGCCATATCAACCACTGATGCATCTCCCGATTTCGCATAGGACTCGAACAACAGCAAAGATGAATTGATCGCAGTGTACTCTGACTCGGTGTCCCACGGCGGAATCTCGTCTATGTGCCGATTGGCATAAACGTATCGCGTGCAGCGCCCGAAGATGGACGCCAGAAGAATAACCAGAGCAAAGGGGCTGGGGCTTTCAGCGATCTCAGTGTTCCAGTTGAGAAGCTGATTCAGGGTGTATGTCTTCTTGATCTCACCTAGTCGAAGGGTCACTTCGTCGCACGGAAGCTGGACCTGGCAGTCTTGGTCGAGAATGACGAGGGGGCGCGATCTTCCACATGAAATGAGTTTGTCGAGTAGCTAGACTGACCAGAACGCTCGTCGGCGTTCCTCCTGCTCCGCAGCAGGTAGCCAAGCATCAGGCTCGCCCATTAAGCCGAGCCCTTGTGCGATGCGCGCTGCTAGACCGATCTTCAACCACCCTGAATTAACGCGCCCAGCTAGATTTTTCGTTAGCTCAGAGCGACTAAGCCTCACACTGTCTCCATACCCACCTACCTGTATAATCAATTACTGCCAGCATGTTTACTGTCTGCACGACATGCACTCCTATATCATCTTCTACTGTCAAGTAATCTGTCAACACGGACAGCCAAGCTTCCCGAGCATAAACCTCTGATGTCTCTAGCGCTCTTTCTGCGTAGAGCTCGTGAGTAGAGAAGCGGACGGCGGAGGCCAGCATAGCTAGTATTAAACATCGTGGCAAGGTTCCATTCCGTAGCTCTTGTCGGAAGCTGATCTCCTGGAAGTTGCTGTATGGCTGGTTGTGCACATGGAGAAAATATGTGTCCATGATGGAGTCCAGGACGGGTTGCGAGGGTGTAACAAAGGGAATGCCCGAGACAGGAGGCTGTGTCGACAAGATCTGCTGCCTGAGAGGCTCAGCATCTATAGACGGGCTTCTGAGATCGATCAGCATAGCTCAATATCTAACCGAAGCTCATAGTTAACACAAACCGGGGTTGTTGTGCGGCTTGTCCGCTTAACTCCGCCAAGCGCGACTCAATCAACGAGATACGCTGCAGTAGTTGGGTCCATGGGATCATTAGATAGATCGTAACCAATCAAAAGGCTGCAATCATACATTTTCACTGGTTTGTGCTGGAGGAGTACTGGGAGGATTATCGCCAATGGTCACGGAGTAAGGCTCGTAAATGCAGGAGTGCTTATTCCGGCGACAGTGGAAACAGATCGGACGCTCCCCGGAGCATTTTGTTTTCCTACGCCTGCACAAAAGCTCAAATGCTCAGTGAAACTCCAGCCCAGCTCAGATTGCCTGCTAGGTGACCTACCGACAATTTGCGCACGCTTGGCGAATGCGCTTGAGGTTGCCCGTTTGAAAAGGGGCCATGAGGGACCTCATTGTAGGGACAAGTCAGTCTTGAGCTGTGAGTGAGATAGTAGGGACAAAGATGATAGACAGATAACCTTATAACCAAAGAACAGGATACGATTCAGGATGATGATGACGAGATTTGCGGGGTTGGGGCACGCGACGGATGTAAGAGTGAAATTGCAAAGCACAGGGCAAACGAAAGAGGGCGGGGGCCCGCCTAGCGCTGCGGGGAACTTCGGCCCTAATTCAACTCCATCGTCGATCCCTCACAATTCAAAATTGAACTTGTCGCTTGCTCTAAACACTACCCTGGTCATTACCTACATACATAGATCTGCTGATGGGTCTAATTCCCAAACTTGCAATCATTGATTGGTGAGAAGCGAACATGGACTCTCTGTAGTTTTTGTATTAGAGATATATCCTTGCCATTGTACATAACATCGTATTTCAGAAAATACTTCAATATGAGATTCAAAGAGAGACCTCCTTCGATTTGAGTTGCTGACGTATGAAGGTAAGGAACGAACGAGGCTAATTCCAATTTCCTGGCAGTTGTACAGCTCATACCGGGTAAGCTAATCGCAAGTGCAATCCACAAAGAAATTCTCGGCAACCGTCGGAATGGCACGGAAGGGACTACAGCTAATGCGGCGCCCGATGGCAATTGAGTAAGAATGACTGGTGAGATTCAATTTGCAGATTGTCTCTACTGAGAAAGAATAAATTCAAGAATAGGGAGTACTAGAAATGATTGTGTGTGACAAAAGGTCGGATGGCGAATGTATTGTGTCAGGGCGTCTTATCAATTGCGGTCTATCAGCTTGGCGATAAACACCCGGATAAGGGTCTCTCACTTTAATGCCCTATTTGGGTAATTCTGACTGCCCCACATAGACACGTCGCAAATTGACAATTGTGATTGGCGATAGTTTGAACCGCCAAACACAATGAATCTGGGGAGGTGTCGCATGGCTGTACGTCAGATTCAATTCTCCTCTTAGGTGCCTATTTGAGTAAATTCGTACTCAGTGTGGATAAAGAAAACATATCATCCCCACCGCAAGAACAATATCGGGCCATCTTATGCGGTCCGGCTTATCATACAGACATGAAGCATCGACAGACATTCTTCGAGTGACACTTCGGAGTGTACATAGTGGAAGGGGTTATCGTAGTGAAATATAAATACATGAAACACAATCCTCCTTCGCCGGCCATGAAGCATGATCACCAATTCTTGAACTACGCACACATCCTCCCACAACATCTCCGGAATGACTTCCCGTGACGGATACCAATGGACGGCAGAGACCGGGCTGGTGCAAGGCGTCCCTTCCATTGGGGTCATCTCACCCCCTACCAACATGACCTCCACCCTAGACCGCTGCGATGTGATTGTCATCGGTGCAGGCTATGCAGGCCTCACGGCTGTGCGAGATGCCTGTCTGGCAGGGCTCAAAGTCTTGCTCATCGAGGCCCGCGATCGTATTGGGGGACGGTCCTGGTCCTCGAACATTGGAGGATATCCTTTCGAGATGGGAGGGACTTGGGTTCACTGGGGTCAGTCGCATGTGTGGCGTGAGATCTCACGCTATCAAATGCGGGATGAACTGGAGCCCTCGTTCGACTTCTCCCACGGGGTCAACCATTTCCAATTACGCACCAACCATGGGTCGAAGACCTTCAGCCACCAAGAAGAGGTCAGTGGGGGTTTCATTGAATTCGAGCGTACCCCACATTCCAAGAATGCCACAGCTAACCAATAACGGTGTAGGATGAGCTTCTTGCTTCCGCATTGCACAAATTCGTGAACGTGGATGGTGAGCTGGGCAGGAAAATCATGCCGTTTCCCCACAACGCCTTCCATGTCCCCGCAGTCCGCCAATTCGACCAGATGTCTGCCCAGGATCGTCTCACCGACATTGCAGCCTCGCTGACCCCAGACGAGCGAGCCGTGGTCGAGAGCTTCATTCTTCTGTGTAGCTGTGGTACTCTGGAAACCACCAGCCTTTTCGAATTTCTCCACTGGTGGGCTTTGTGTGGCTATACCTACCAGGGCTGCCTGGACTACCTCATTTCCTACAAGTTTAAGCGGGGTCAGTCAAGCTTTGCCATCAACTTCTTCAAGGAGGCAGTCTCGACAGGCAATCTTCTTTACACCTTCAACAGTCCTGTGCAATCAATTGAGAATCAAAGTGAGAAAGTCAGTGTCACAACCCGCGATGGTCGAAGCTATACAGCCGCCCGCCTGATCTCGACAATCCCTCTCAATGTGCTCAGCACCATCGCATTCTCCCCTTCCTTGGGACCCCAGCGCACAGCAGCAATCAATACGGGTCATGTCAACCAGTGTGTTAAGGTCCATGCTGAGGTCTCCAGTCGCGAGATGAGATCGTGGACGGGAATTTCATACCCCTTCAATAAACTCACCTATGCCATCGGCGACGGGACAACACCCGCGGGGAACACTCACATTGTCTGCTTCGGAGGCGCTGCGAACCACATCCAGCCGGAAGAGGACCTGAATAAAACCAAGCAAGCCGTTCAGGAATTGGCTCCTGGTAACATGGATATCCAGCGCCTGGTGAGTGTCCTCCTTGAATCTATTACTTTATGCTGATTCAAGGAATCCTAGGTTTTCCACAACTGGTCGAAAGACGAGTTTGCTAAGGGAGCGTGGTTCTTCTCACCCCCAAAGCTTCTCTCAGTAGCTTTGGATGAGCTGCGATCCCGACACGGGAATGTGCTGTTTGCCAACTCGGACTGGGCTGTGGGCTGGCGGAGTTTCATTGATGGTGCGATTGAGGAGGGTACACGGGCAGCAAAGACTGTTACGGAGGAGCTGCGATCAAGGTCGACTTCGCGGGCTCATTTGTGACTATTAAATGTCTGTAGCAACACTTAGCTTCTGGAATAGCACAGTGTATTTTAACCATTACCGGAATGTTCCAATGATTTCGAACTCATCGCTCCACCACTGCCGGCACAGCTGAAGATATCATCAGAAGAACCATCACAATCTTGGGAAGAAGGCTCAAAGTTCAAGTTCGCCGCCATGAAAAAATCAAAGACCGAAACATGCAACCAAATGAAGAGACCAGCACCAGTATGAAGATCGCATCTCGTTTGTTTTTAGGCAATAGTATATCCCCAAGTCTCGTGTCCTCGGTGACGAAGAACAACCAGATACAGATAACGAATAAACCGACGGACATGGATATCACCAAATCTCAGATTTAGTATCTTTCACGTAATAGGTCGCCTAATCTGTCCCATGAAGTCACAGATAGCGGAGAAAGTGTAGATAGTGTGTCCACCAAGCCGGCTTATCTGCATCAGATTATTCGCCACGCCACAAGGCCGAAATCTCAGGTTATTGACCGATTTCGGTAATTCCCATCTCAGTCCCCGCATCATCGATCTTAACAGTTACGACAACCTTGTGTGAAGTTCCCTTCCTATCAAGTACATCCTGCGAAATGTCGACAAGTGTGATAGAAGACGAACCTTTAAAGGAAGGCAATGTTCATCCTTGTTGGGCAGTATTGGAATCAACCAACATATTCAATCCGAGAGACAGTATTATCTACGTTACGCCTCGATATTTCGAAGATGGAACCATCAAAGACCACCAAGCAAGGTATGCAAGGAGGCATCCGGCGAAATTGTAGAGATGCTGATTATCTATGTCTATGGACCAGAAGCAAGCCTGGATGTTGAGCGACGTAAGTTGATAGCTTGCTGCTTTTATCGACCTTGTCCCTCATCTCATAACTATCTTCTGATCTAGAGTCAGTACGAATCGGTGGGATGGTGGAACAGGGCTGCGTGGAAGGGTTGGTCATTGGTCCAGCCGGAACCCGCAAGATGACCCCTCTTCAGATCATCTCCGCAAGTTGGATCATCTGTGACAGTTGGGCAGGGGTATCAGCCACTGTGGCTCTGGCCATCGCCCAAGGTGGCCCCGTTACCATGGTCTATGGACTAATCTTGATGTTCTTACTTGTTGGCGCCTGCACTCTCACCCTGGCCGAGTTGTCGAGCGTGTACCCCACGGCAGGGGGGCAATATCACTGGACCTCGATCCTGGCCCCGGGGTGCATTAGCCGAGGACTGGTACGTATTGCTGTTGTGACATATTATTCCTGCTTGAGGCTACCTTGTTACGGTTACTGACCTATCTTCCAGAGCTACGCCTGTGGAATGGCCAATATGTTCGCCTGGATTGCTATTTGCACGGGTATTGCCATCATCCCGTCCCAACTCATCCTGGGCATTGTTCTCTTCTACAACCCCGGCTTTAATGCCCAGCCATGGCATTACTTCATCCTCTACCAAGTCATTAATGTGTTAGTACTCTTTTATTGTACTGCGCTTCTGAAAAAGTCCCTCTGGATCCATGATGCATGCTGTAAGCACCCGAGAGCCCGTACCTCAGCAGTATCTAATTCCTTAGTCTTTATAACCCTGGCCTCGTTCTTTGTTATTGTGATTGTCTGTCTGGCTCGGACGGCTCCCAACTTCCAGCCCAACGTCCATGTCTGGGCCAATTTTCTGAACGACAGTGGATGGACATCTGGCGGGGTAGCATTCCTCACCGGTCTCGTCTCCCCGAATTACATGTACGCAGGCATTAGGGTTTATTAAAAAACCCTAATGGAATGCAAAGATGCAGCTCGGGTCGTCCCTCGCGCACTATTGAGCACGCTTGTGATTGGCTTCGGTACATCCTTTGCATTCCTTGTAACTATGCTATACTGCACCGACGACCTTAAAGCAGTCGTCGCCTCAGCCACAGGGTCAGTTACCCCCCCACCCTCACCGGTATCCAACGCTAACCGAGTGCAGGGTCCCTATATACGAAGTCTGGTATCAAGCCACTCACTCAAAAGCAGCAGCAACCACTTTCATAATCCTCCTCAGCCTAGCAGCCGCTTTCGCCCTAATCGGCGCCCAGGAGACCGCCGCCCGGTTAACCTGGTCCCTGGCGCGGGACAACACGCTCTACGGCAGCAGCCAAATAAAAAAGATGCACCCGAGCCTTGATGTCCCCGCCTGGGCCCTTGTTTTCAATTTCTCTGTTATGTTCATCATCGGCTGTATTTATTTAGGGTCATCATCCGCGTTCAACGCCTTCATTGCCACAGGTCTGGTCCTGCAGCACGTCTCCTACGCCATTCCCGCCGCCTTGCTCTTGTTGCGTCGCCGCGGGAGCACCTGGCTCCCTGCAAACCGGCCCTTTCGACTCCCCGGCCCGGTGGGTTGGACTGTAAATTTTGTGACTGTCGGCTTTACGCTTTTAGCCTTGGTCTTTTATAGTTTTCCAACGGCGAGACCGGTCACTGGAAGTAATATGAGTGAGTTATCTTTTTCACTAAGAGCAGTGGCTGTACTGAATTCAGTTGCTGATGCTGATGATCAGATTATACGGCTGCTGTGCTGGGGTGTATGGCGATTGTGGCGTTGGGAAACTGGGTGTTTTACGCGCGGCGATGGTATTGTGGACCGAGATTGCATGGGCTAGATTAAGATACATATTCAAATTTGGTACTGGCTTATCTATTTATGCTCTCAGAGCACATTCAAAATTCCGTCTCAGAAGTTTAAAAAGGATAGGCAAAAGGGCCATTGCTACGGATCACACGTAGATAGATAGCTAATCTAATTGGTAAGCAAGTCGGCTTTATAAGCGAGCCAGCCGCCCTATGTGCAAAAGATCCTGCGATTTCTTGCAGGATAGCTTACAGGCTTACTCGCAGGACCGTTCGCAGGGCCGTTGGTAGAATGGTCTGTAGGATGGTTCACAGGGTAGTTCGCGGAGTGGTTTGTAAGGTGTTTGGCAGGCTTGCTTGCAGGCTTGCGCGTAGGGCTGTTTCTTGCAGGCTTTCTTGTAGACTTGCTTGTGGGCTGTTGGTAGGGCTTTTGATTTATGGGCTGTCTTAAACTTGCGCGATCGGCTAGAGTGGCTAACGGGCAAGTTAGGTCAGGTTAATTAGAATTTTTATTCCTGACCGCAGGTTAATAGTCAGGTATAAAAAATATATATTTCTAATATTGATAACCTGCGGTTAATCGGTAGATCTAATTTTTTGATAATCAAGTCTATATAAATAAACAGTAAAAAATAGTAGAATTATTCTATCTAATTTTTGTCTAAATTCTATTTAATTTAATTAACTTTTATCTGATTTTGATTTAAACTAACTATTTTTAAACTAGTATAGATATAACAGTTAACTGCGGTTAACTATTAAATAAAATAGTTAATCAGATTTTATATCTTAATCTGACTGATAGATTTTGGTTAGATTAAGATTTAGATATAATAGTCAGATTAAACTATTCTATACTCGGCTGCAAGACTGTTTGCAAAGCTATTAGCAGAGCTACTATTTATCTGTATTAGAGTGGATTAACCTGACCGTTATACCTTAATCTTAATCTGGCCATAACCTGGTGGTTAGGTTAAAATATAAAAAAATTTTAACTATACAGTTATAGTTAGATTAAGATATAATTATTATTTTAACTGTTTATATCTACCGGTCAAAAAAGTTAGATATAACAAATAGATTAATAACTATAGATTAATTAATAATATATATATTTTTTTTATATAAATAATATATAAAGTATAATATATTTTTAATTATAGTATAATAATATTCTTTAGATTTAGCTTATCTATTTAATATTATAGTATAATTCTAATTCTTCCGACTTATCTACTTAATTTATTTGATTTATTTAATTTACTTAATCTATTTAATCTGCTTAATCTGCTTAATTTATTTAATCTACTCGACCTTTTTTCCCGTAGAGCTGAGAGGTATACTATACTTTAAAAAAGATTTTTATAAAATCTAGTATAAAAAAAATAGTATCTAATATTAAATAAACTAATAAGATTATATTATTTTTTATACTGTTTAAAACAGTGATTATAATAGCGGAGAAATTAAGAAAATCAGATTTCTATTTTTATCTGAATATATATAATATTTAAAGATTTAGATAAAACTAGCTTTTCTATTTTTAATAATAATTTATTTTTTAAATTATTTTTAAAATTATTTATATTCTTATTTTTATTTATATAAAAAATAATAATTATTTTATTCTTTTTTTACTTCTTAGATATAAAGATAATTGAATCTGGATTAAGATTATTAAAAATATTCTAATACTTCTTACTAATAATAAAATAATTAATATATATCTAAAGTATTATTATTTTAATTATATTAATATAAAGACAGCTCTGATAATAGTAGCAGATATTTTAAAAATTATTAAATAAATATTTAATACTAATACTATTAGTAATAGTCAAGAGAAAATCTCTAGCTATTTAATAAAAAATAAAAAACTAATTACAACAGGACTTTTAATAAATAAGAATATTAGTATATTTTATAATATCTAAAATAATATTAGTTTAATTAAAAATATCTTTATAAACTATATATTTTTAATATCTAAATATATTTTAAGTTTTTTAAATATTTCAGCTGCTGGTAAGAGTTTCTAGTATTTAAAAATATTATAAAAGATTTTATTTAGATCTGACAGTAATCCGAAAATAATTAACAGTATATTAATAGCCAGATTCTAACTATAATAAAAATAAAATATTTTTTTAAAAATAGTTCGGTATTTATAATATCAGTTAATATTATTATCTAGCCAGATATTTTTTTTAAATTTTTTAAGCTTTAATGTTGGGTTTAGAATAGTTATAATTATATAAATATAGCCTTTTATTTAATAAATATAATAATAATATTTTCGGAGCTTTTAATATATATTTTATAAGTTTTTAAGAATTTTTTTTTTAAAATACCCGCTTTCTTATTAATCGGTTAATTAAGTAATTTAAATAATTAAAAAGATTATTATAGATATTATAAATCTTATAAACAGTAGGCCCACTATTTTTAAATAACTAAAATATAAAAAAAAAAAAAAGTATAAAAACTTAAGAAGATATTCTATTTATTTTTACTTAATTAGAATAGAATAAAGATAATTAATATTATTATAATTATAATATTAAATAAAACTCTTAATTACTTAATAAAAATTAAATATCTGGTAAATTATAAGATAGATTAAGTTTTAGCAAGTTTTATAGTTAAAAAAAAAATAATAAACTAAGTCTAATTCAAGTTGTTAAGTAAGCTGAAACTTTTTATAATATTAAAAGTTTATATTTATAAATTATATAATCTTCTAAATTTATAATCAAGAATTAATAAAATTAGCTATTACTAAAAAAAGATTTTTAGAACTTGTTTATAAAAAACTAATCTAAATAATCTTTATTATAAATAATAGAAGCTTTTTATATTAGCCTTTTATAAATATCTTTTAGAATATATCTTTTTAAAAATTCTTAAAATACTAGAAGAGATTTTAAGACTTTTATTACAGATCTTTTATATATATTTAATAATACTATTTAAGACTTTAATCCGAAGTTTTTATAAAAAAATATTAATTATAAACTAAATTATATAAACAAGACAGAATATATAATACTAGTTTTAAATAATTATTATAAAATTAGAATAAAATAAAGTATTATAAAGCTGAATACTCTGGCTAAGCTAAGTCCAAAGTTTAGATAAGATTATACTAAATATTAAACTATTATTATTAGTATTATTAGTTGTTATACTTAATAATTGATAAAATAAGTTATATTTATATAAAATTAATAGAATAATTATAACTAGATTTTTATTAGTATAAAATTTAGATACCGGTCGAAAGCCCAGTAGAACTTTATAATAATTTATATTTTTTATTAAAAAATATCTAATTAAAGTAAAAAATATTTTCTAATTAGAGCTGGTCTAGTAGTTTACTATAATTAATATCTGTCTAGTATCTAAAAATTTTAATAACAGCTGTATATATATATTTTTTAATAATTTTAAAAAATATTTTTTAATCTGTACTTGATTAAAAGAACTTGGTTTTCAGCAGAAAAATAAAATTATAAGATTAATTATTTATTTTAATTAAATATACTCAACAGTTCGGAATAATAAACAATAAATAATTATAAAGTATAGAATTTAATTCTAAAAGTTCTATTTATTATAAACTGCAGAGGCCTAGAAAAAATAATAATTAAAAAAGATTTATTTTTAAAAAACAAGTAAATATTTATAATAGTTTTTTACTTAATATCTGACTAATTATTTACTTGGATATTATTAATAATATTTTTTTTTTATAACTCTTATAAAGATAATAGCTTATAAAACTAGTTTCTAAGTTTTTAATTCCCAAATATTATAAAATATAAAGATATATAATATAGTAGATATAAGAAGTTTTATTAGAAAATAATATATTTTTCTAAAAATGATTTTATATTATTAATATTTTCTTTTAATTAAAGTAAAATAGCGGTTTTCGAGCTTATATACAAACTTTAAAAAAAATTATTTTTTATTATTAATTCTAGAAAGTAGAGAGCTTTTTTTTATAAATTAAATATAAAATAATCTTCCGATTCTTTGCAACGCACGTAATCTAAAGATTTAAAAAAAAAAAAAAAATCTAATTTAAAAAGCTTATTTTAGTTAGAATATTATTATAATTTATAAAGATCTAAAAAATAAAAAAAAAGAGCTCGATAGTATTTTCTAAAAATAAACTAAATAATTATAATTAATTTATAATTCTAAGACTACTCTGTAAATAATAGATATAGAAAAATAAAAATAGAAAATTCTATAAAAACAGTTTGTTTTATTTTAAAACATACTTTTATATAAATATGATTTATTATATTTTAAATACAGTTAAAGCATCTGCTGTATTTTATTTATTTTAGAAGATCTAGTAAGCAGAGAATTATATTTTAAGTTTAGAATTATAAAAATTAGATCGATCAGATCAGTCAGATTATTTTTATATTAATAAAAAAAATCTAAAAAAGGCTTTTATAGAACTTTTTAAGAAGTATAATATCTAATATTTAATTAGATAATTATTAGAAAGTATAGTTGCCGAGAAAGACTATATAAATAATATTATATAAATATTATAGTATAGTTTTAATTCTTTTAATTTATCTACTTAATTTATTTAATCTGTTTAATCTGTTTAATCTGCTTGATTTATTTAATTTATTTAATTTATTTAATTTATTTAATCTGCTTGACCTGCTTAATCTGTTTAATCTGCTTAATTTATTTAATTTATTTAATCTATTTAATTTATTTAATCTATTTAATCTACTGAATCTGCCGCCTCTGACCGTCTATTATATAATTCTAAATTTATTTAAAAATCTTTTTATTTTTAAATCTTTTTATAGCTTTTTAAGTTATGTTTTGTCTATAAATCTAAAAATAATCTAACTAAATAGCTAGTTAAAAATAAAAAAATAAGTTATTAAAATACTACTAGTCTGTTATCTATTTTATTATTCTATTTATTATTATTTATACCTGCTAGTCTATAACTTAACAGTAGGTTTTTTTTTAAGTTTAATTTATAATACAGATAAT